TACCTTAAAGGTCCAATATTAAATAAATGATAGCTTTATCTACTTGAGTGTTTACTGACCTATAGTGTATGTAGATAAATGAATTGAAATGACAACCTGACTTGGTATTCAACCTGACCAGTAAGTTCTGAATAGTGACGGGAGCCTTGTGCTCAGTGATTGCCATGGAAGGAAAAAGTATAATGTATTTCAATATGATAAATTCTAAATGCCTGTAATAACCTGACATAACAAAAATACAGTTATTATGAGTTGGTAACTTTGCTTTCTTGGCTCTAAAAGCAACCTCGGTAGCTCAGTTGGTTAGAGTGTTAACCAACTCAACATCCGGTTAACATCCGAGGTATTTGGTTTGACACACTTTAAGGTGTGTCAAGTCAATTTTCTGGAAGCTGAGAAATGCAATAGTTTGTGTCAACATGGTTGTGAACTTTGGTAAGACACTTAACCATATTTACCACAGATCACATGTGATGGGCCTTCTGTATGTTGATCAGTGAGGCCGCCACCAGCTAATACAAGTAGACCCAGCTGCCTCAAAATCACTTTGTTTACTGGGTGAACCTTCAATATCTACCATGGTGTTACAGTATTACCAATAATATACGAAAACAACAAGCAAAATACCAACATGTCAACAGATTCTTAATTGAAACTCAAATTCAACATAATTGAGGCAAAGTGTAAATCTCGGTTGATCTATGTAGTAAATATCACATTCCCTAACAAGAACAATTTTTAAGTTGTGCAACAACAAGAGATTTGAACCACCAAGTATACTAATGAGCATCTAACACAAGGATCAAAAACTTCATCTTACACAAGAAAATAAAGAAACCACCAGTATTTCTTGATGAGATCATTATGTCCAATGTACATCTTCATAAAATCTCCATCAACCTGTCTTTCCTTACTCTGTGTTCTGAATCACATGATTAGGAAATTGATTTACTAATATCTAAAGTAAGAGTTTTTACAGGTGAGTTCTGAATACCATTTCTAACCTTTAGAGGAGTTCCATTACTAAAAGATATATGTAATCCTTGAAATTTGAACGAGTCCCACAAGAAAATCTGAAGTCCCAAAAATCAATGATATACTACATGTATATCTCCTCAACACTGAAATGAAAACTAAAAGTGGAAAGTTAAAACAGATAAAAAGATACCACAACTCTGGTAAGGTATGAATAATGAGGCTAGCTAACCTAATTAACCTACCATATATAAACTTCTACAGCCTTTTGTATAAACTCCTCAAAACATGTTTCAAAAGGCTTTGGTAGTGTGAAAGAAAAGTCTAACTTCTATGGAAACTACTCAGTAGTTTGTGCGGTGTTTCTAAAGGTTTAGCTGAATTTGTGCTCCCTCAGACATGAAATCCCAAGCTAATTACATTGGTCTATCTTCATGGTAACTAGGCCATTAAAGAGCTGATTGTAACCTAAAAAGGTTCACCAATACCAACAGTGTGATGTACATGTAATGTATTGCAGAAATTGAAGCTGTTTGAAATAGTATTGGCTTCGCCCCCATTGCGGACTGTTTTCAGACGAATGGTCTTGATGTGGCCAGCAGAGTTACTGAATCGTTAACTTATCATATCTGTGTATATATTTTTGCGAGTCTTGGTGAACAAAAATTAAATCTTCAAGATGCTCAGGAAGTTTAATAAAAACTCCCATAAAATGAAAAAATTGAAGATACTTTTTATCCAACTAAGACAGATTTTAAAATAACACTTGATGATCTAGAGATAGAAGTAATAATCATACTCAGGACAAAATCACAGACTGAACAAAGGCCCACAAGGGAGTGCATATACAAAAACATTGGTAGGGGGTATGTACCATGTACTGGTGAATTATTACATTCTTAAGAGAATATATATTTATATAATGATACCTGGACTAAATTAAGATACCAGAACAAAACAAGTGACTTATCTCTAACTGAATTATATAATATTTGTACCAAGACTGTGCTTAAGACTAAATGTATCACAATGTGAGATAAAAATGTTACAGATAATTTTACAATGAGACATTCCACTGTGACTTAACATAATTATAAAGCAATGGGTGGAGTCACCTAGACAAGAAACCCTTCTACCACATAACCAACCAAACAGCCAACCAAACAATCACCAAAATAACCACCAAACAACCACCAAGTCACACAACCCACCAACAATTAACCAAATAACCACTGAATAACCAAAAAAACTACCAACCAAAGAACCACCAAACAACCAACCAAACAACCACCAAACAACCACCAAACAACCAACCAAACAACCACCAAACAACCAACCCAACAACCACCAAACAACCAACCAAACAACCACCAAACAACCAACCCAACAACCACCAAACAACCAACCCAACAACCACCAAACAACCAACCAAACAACCACCAAACAACCAATCAACAAAACGACCACCCAATCAATAATTAACCAACACAATCAACCATGTTTTATGTAAATTGATGAGTTATAATAAACAGAATTACTAGGTATGTGATATATATATAAAGCTTAATCATTTTTTTTAGAAAAAAAGAATTGAACAATAAAGGTTGTAACAAACTGTCCACTAATTACTAACCAGAACCTGAACTTAAAATCATGATTGCACTAAATTTGATACACTGGTAATAATACTTCTCATTTTTGAAATTCTATACAGTCGGACATTCTGACTCAGTCAATCTAGCCAAATAGCTTGGCTATTAAAAAAGTAGCTAGTTCGAATTAAAAAACACTTCAATTCTGTAAATCATACATGTTGCATGATGAAATTGTGTTCATCTTACAAGTGGAAAATTGGGTACACATACAAAAAGTCATTATCATAATTAAGACAGGAAAATTTACATGTATACAAGTTTGGCCAGTGAAATGTATCCAATCGAACTATCCATATACCAGAATTATGTTATGGTACCGAAATTGTGGTTATAATACCTGTGTGTTAATTAGTTATAAGTAAAGGACCAGCTTGCATATCCCTGTCCAAGGTTTAGAGGTGCAATCACTGAACAGCTAATTAGTGCTGCTTAATTATAGATAGGAAGAAGACAGGCTTTGCTAATTGCTGTACCTGACTGAAATTCTGAACACTAGACAGATAGCAGCATTTACATGTGGACTACAGTAATTGGTTCTCAAACTTTCATGGTCAGGTCCCACATAAAAATGACAACAGCAGAGAGAACATACAAATTTCTATTATTTTTCAGATGCTAATCCCAAAAGTAATTCCCAATGTTATTCATAATGTTTATAAACAGCATAAAAATTGTTTTCTTGATAAAAAGGCAAATCCAATTGACAAAGAATTTGATTTCCACTTGTTTTTTATATATCAATTAATCTTTAATTAGGAGAGAGCAATTAATACCTTTGTTGCTGCACCAAAATGAGAAATTGTGTCTCTAGCACTGAATTCAGTATGGTTTTAATTTTCTAAATAATATTCACTATATTAATACCGTATACAAAATAACACAGAAGAGATAATCAAAGAAAAAGTGAATCCCTACAGGTTTACATCAATGGAGACTGGAGTGCTTCAAACAAGTTTAGATAAGCTTACCAGAAGTAGCCCCAGCAAAGTACCGTAGTAGAGATCTATATTATCATTCTACAGGTTGGGTTTTCCAACTCCCTTCGAAAGTTTAGACTGTCTCAATTATGAGACTTCTTGTATTTTACGACTGAGTTCACCTCATAACTTTAGAGTTATTTTATTGATTTTTACACCTTTTTCGGTTATTATGATAAACAACTTTTGTTGTGGCTTCTGGTTTTTTTTAAACACTTTCCATGGTTTTCAAAGATTTTTGAAATAATAACAAATTTGGAAACCTTACGCAATTTTGATTTTTGTTCAAAAATTAACATTGTTTTACAGTAGCAAATTGAAGAGGCAACTTTAAAAGTGATAGTAATGGATGAAAAAATGGTTTAAATTCCTCCCCTTATATAAATTACACTATTTATTAATGCAAGTTTTAAATTAAAAAATTTAATGGTAATTTAGACGCAAAAAAATGTAATAGGTAAAAAATTTTATCAATCAAATTTGGCAGCTTATTGATGACTTCAGTACAAAGTATCACCAGAGTATCAGACTTAACACTTTGAGAGAAGAGAAAGTAATTAATGTAAATTGATTTCCTTGACACAGTCAGAGTGGACATTAAATCCCAACCAATCAAATGGATCCAGCTGGTGGTCTTGGTCAGATAAAATTTCTGACCATTTGTTAGCTAATGCTGGGTTAAATTACACATAGTCTAGACTCCAGACTATTTAAAGCTTGGTTTCAAGTTATAGACACATAACTAATCAGTTGTTTAGAAAATAAAAGCATTATGCAGCTAAATCCAAAAGGCAATCCCAGATTGTTTTATTTACCTCTTCTTAAAGAGCATGAGTAAAGTGTGTAAAAAAAACCATCCACCTCAATCAAGTCTAAGGGAAAGTGGAAATTGATTATTATATTCAAAATTACATTAACCAAATTATACAACTGCATCATGTCATTTTAAAGTGATTCCATTCAGAATCAGAATTTGTACTCAATTGAACAGGGTTTTGTATAACAGCATATAAGAATTTTACCTGTTCAGCTAAAATCAACCAAATTTCAAGTTGACAAATCTTAGTGTGTGTATTGTGAGTTACATAACACCACAGGTGGTCTGTTCCACTGCTATAGACACCAGTGTGGACACAGATGAACCGAGATCGCTAACATGTGATAGCAATGTTTACTCAAAACAACCGGTCAAATAGTTTTGACACGAGTCACCGTGTCATTCAGAAGACGATTATTCAAGATAACACATGTACAATACAAAAACTTCAGCAATCTACATGCTTGAGTTGCCGTCTTCTCTCAACAGTCCGATTTGCTCAAAACAGAACAATAACTACAACCCTTTCTTCTTTTTCTTGTATTCTTAACATGTACTTTCCCCAAAATAACTTACCAGTAAGTTCTCTGATGCGTTGTAGGTCATATCGAGATTTGCTCAATAGTCTCCTCCGTATCAACAGGTAACCAGTGTAACACGATACAAGGAAATAGATCCCTAAGATACCGAAAGCGATCTTTCGCCAGTTTCGGAAATAAAGCCTCATGTCTGTACCTCCATGGGTCACGAACTGTCACCTCAAGATTCTTCACATCAAATGGAATACACACGCAGCTTAAACAAATCCCTGTATAAATTCGCCGTTTGGGTCCTCAGACTATTGTTAATGCCGTGAGTTGACCGATATAATAACAGTCACTGTGGTTATAACAACACCTGCTGAAAATATCGACCAGGGGCTGCCTCACAGCTTTCACCACGCTGTGTGTTCTGTATGTGCACTGGGCGACTGAAAGGTGGGATTCCCCCCGGAAATAAACTCGTGTGTATATATTTCTAGAGATAGTCATGTGACCCTAAACGAGATTCAAAATGGCGGCACCCATGGAAAACGTGGCCGGTGAAATGTCAGCTGAAGAAAACGAAGTATTCTGTCAGATTGAGGCGACTGTACCGACTGGATTTGAAGTTACAGCAAAGCTTGAAGCTCTTGAAGTATTCAAAACTGAAGTTAAAATTGCTAGAGGTCACATCGTGATCAGAGTTCCAATAAAGGATGTCAAAAAGGTAAGCTCAAATATATAGATCTGTGACTGATATTCGCTGTGACGTGTGTAGCTTCTTTTCGCATTGAGTGTGAAAACAAAGGCAGCGATTTACATATTTGTTTTGTTATAGCAACATATCTATGCAGGTTTGACACATTCCCTTATATAGGGAATAGTCCTGCATTTGAGGGATAGCTACTGCTTTGAGAAATCAGTTAGTTACTCGGTGCAGAATCATTCTTGGTTTAAACATATTTTATTTGTTCAATATCACAAACGGGATTAGGCACAAATTATCACAACTAAGAAAAGCCTTCTCCCAAAAATTACATTTCACATAGATCTTACAAATCTACAATAGTATACATTGTCATTGAATTTGATTTACTTCATGTATATATTTAAAAAGAGAATAGATGAAAACAGAACAGAAACTGAGTAAAGCCAGGAAAGAAGTAAGGAAAAGAAGGGTTACTTTGAAATAGAAACATAAAAGTTAATCTAAAGATTTGCAACAAAAAGAGTGTCATCTTTCTAACATGACCCAAAAGCCAATGTGACAATGTATATAATTGCAATAGAAATGATCATTGCTTAACTTTATGTTAAAATAACAACTATGCCACTGGCTTTGATCTCCACCAACTACAATGCAGTGTATAGCTAGTGGCAGCAATAAGTGCAAATGTTTGAGGTGAGCATGATCTTATCTGTGGTCTGTTTTTGGCAACGATATAAGAAGTTAATAATCAAGAAGATACTATCAGTTTGTGAATTTTACCAAAAGTGAGACAACTTAATTCATAATTTTTATGTAAAAATGTACAATGTTACATTGGCTAATGGGCCATGTCAAAAATATGACACTTTTTTTTGTTGCAAATGTTTAAAAGAACTTTATGTGTGTCTGTTTCAAATGACCGTGCATTTTGAGTTACTAATTTGTTACTCAAAGTGTTAACTATCCATCAAATGCAGGACTATTACCCATATAAGGGATTTTACCCAACCTGCTTCTTGCCAGCAAATGAAGCAATATAAGAAACACTGATTTCCATAGCCAACCATTGTTGATTGATAATATATGGCTATTAACCATTCATTGATTCATTACTTCGATTGTTTGATTCTGACATAGAATTAAATATGAAATTAGGTTTGATTCTAAGGTGTCTATGTTTAGTAACTTTCAGGTAAGATCATGACATGTTTGAATTCAATGACTCTTTCACCAGAATATGAAGCCAAGCTTTTGTATATATGTAACTGATAAACCTTCACATTACTATCAAAACCAAATATTTTGGTCAGAAAAGATTATTTGATATTGACTATTTGAAAAATAACAATGATGAAAAGTTTACCTGTGTCACAATTTGATATATAATGTTAAGTTTATATCATGTTGATTGGAACAAAGGTAACCTGGTATGAATTGACATGTGATCTACAGAATACACATTTTGCGATAATTCATGATCTTCGTGAGATAAACATTATGTACAGGACATCTGCAAATGAATGTCTTAAATGCAGACGTAAACAGGTGAAATTTACCTTCTTTTTAATTTTTTTTAGCATCAACATTTAAAAGTATTTCCGTGTACATGTACAGGATTAGAAATCATTTATTTTTTTCCCTACCTTCCAACAGGAAATATGCCACTTAATACGAAAAAAGTATATATTACTTTGGCAGTAAGTGGTACAGATACATGTATTCACCAATTGCAATAATATAGTACTGCATCATCAAAAATTAACTAGCTTTTCCTCTACAGCTTCTGTTTGATGTTTGCTTGAGATAGGAACCAAAACTTTGATTTATGAATATAATGTGAATTCGTTAATATCTGCCTGGTTTAAAAGGACCAGAAAATTGGATAGAAATAGGAATAGATTTAAATTGATGGCATTATGACATATATGCCTATCACATTTATTGTCATACCTTGAAAATAATAATGACAGAAAAAAGCAGTACTCTAATTGTAAAATTAAAAGATATATCTCACAGAGAAAGCCTGGTAGAATATGGTATATTTTGTTAATGGTAAATATTCACATATGCAGGTATATATTGTAGATTTCTTATTAGAATTACACTAAATACATTTATTGCAATAGATTTTATTGTTCAGTTATACTGAAATGACCTTTGAACTATTTCAATTAACAACACAAAGAGGTAGATGTATCGGTAGAGGGGTCCTAAGTGGATACCAGAGTATTCTGATAGAGCTCCATAGATGGTAGACAATGGTCCTGATGACAGTTGGTCTGGCCGTTCAAAACATGTCTACAAAGTCACGAAATCCCTGTAGTTGAAACTCCGTCCTTTATCTACTTATTTTAATTAATATAAATTGTATTTTTTCTACAGGTATTGGAACTTGGCTGTGTGGACAACTGTTTTGTCATTATGACAGAACTAAAGAAATTTCCATTTGCTGATGATGAAGTAAGTTTAGTACTATAATCTATATAAATTATAGTGCTATGTAAAGAGACTGATTTAGGTATGTAAGCTTTTGTTGTGTTGTGACGTAGGTCTTCAGAAATTCATCTCATCTGTTCAGCCTTAGGTTTATATTCTTTTTTTCCCAATTAACCCAGAGATGAGGAATGAGAAGGGGAGAGAGACAAAACGTTAATTTTGAGTAAATATTTAAATATTTTCTTTTTCAAAATCACTCCAAAGTCTGATATCATTTTGACTTGGTTAAGATTTAAACTCCTTAAGCTGTGAGAAGTTAGACTTTATTGGAAAATTGTAACAGACTTTATTCTCTGTAATATAGAATGAATCAAATAGAATGATGTTACATAGGTTTGAAATAACCTATCCCAAATACAATGCACCAACACTTACATTCCAATCCATTTGATTTTTTTTATGTTAAACACATGTATCTGAAATTTGAAAGTTTAAAAAAATACTATTGATATTGGACCTTAAATAATTTTGACACTTGACAACTGTATTGTACTGCAGCAAGTGCTTGGGGTTTTCATTGGACATTCAGTATTGTGTTACAAGGATATAAAATTGGTATTTTGAAACTTCTCGTGATGTTGTTATCACTTCTACGTGCTAACTTGTCACTGTTACAATTCTGTTGTGTACATTTAAAAGCCATACTATGGGCATGTATTTGCTATTACAGTATCAATTTCAATACCTTTCAAGACATGCTGAGCAGAAATATCTGCCGTTACATACTTCAAGTGTGAATTTTGATCTGTAAAATTTAGTCATGTGACAGCTCAAAGGGAAATTACTATACATGTTACATGGGGACGACAAAATTTGTTTGCTATCAGAAATTAAACTCCACTTTATATCTCTGTTTTGGGTTTAATATGACCCAAGGGAAATTACATCCCAATACTTTTGTAAAGTTGCTATGTTCCACGATTACATTCAGAAAATTTGTGTGACTGTAGTCGATTTATAATTCATGTTTTCCCAAACTGTACATTATACAGAGATTACTGAACTCGTCGAAATGTCTCACAGAAATAGAGTTTTAATTGTTTTTTAATTGTATATTTATGGCGAAATGAGACATAGAATAGCCTAGGATTGGAAAAAGCTCATTCAGAAATGGACAACTCTTTAATTGTCCATATTTTTTGTCAGGGTTTGGATTGGTTGTCTAGACCTTTGTGAGTGTCTGAACTGGTCAGTATTGTAAATATCCTTGTAAACTGAAAGTACAGTAGAGTCTGAAGTGGGGTCAGAAATGGTTAATATCGTGAAACTCCTTATAAACCAAGAGTAGAACTAGTATACCACAGTCTGAAGTGGGAATACTATATTTATAATCAGAAATGGTTGATATCGTAAACCTCCTTATAAATACCATAGACAGAAATGATGGGTATTGTAACAGTCACAATAAATCAGGAGAACTACCCTGGCTAAAGAGAAAATCCTCTGAGGTAAGTCAGAGGTAAACAGGTAGCTCAGTTTACATTATCATCACTATCTATATATCTATTCTGGCTCTTTGGACTGTTGATGTTGTTCTATAAAAAATGCTATTTTTAGGTTCACAATATTAGGGAATTCTTTTTTTTTTTTTTTTGAGCAATACCTGATGTTAGCATACCAAGTACATATTTTTTTCACAGTTATTGAATTCAGTGTAATTTATGACAAAAACGAAATTAGATATTTTGCAATACCTTTGGGGTATATGTTACTGATTGGTTAATGTGACTAAACTGATAGGACATACAGAGCTGGTATTGCACAATATTTGTCACTCTGGTATATACAATGCCCAATACACCACACAACCCAATCTCTTCAGATTGCTTGGTTGAGACTCAGCTTAAGTAAGCCAGAGGTCCCAGATTTGATCCCTGGCAGAGACACTCAAATTTATATGACCTGAGTTATATATACATGTAACAAACATATATGTTTGAAAGATATGAAAATACGTCTCCATCAGAAAAAAAGTCATGTTGTCCCCTCCCCTTCAGACAAAGAAAATTAATATTTCATTTGTTAAGAACGACTTGCTGAATGCATTAACCATTCTTTTCTAATTTTAGGTTTCAGGGTCACATTAAAAATCACATTAATCATTTCGTTGAAAGTTAACTTGTAATTTGTTTTTTTTTTTTACATTTTGATTTGATTCTGTAATTGAAATTACTTTTTTTAATTCAATTAATAGGACTTTTTGTTATAGATGGGTGACAACCTCGTATCATTAACATTGTTTGTAGTCCTCAAAATTTAGCACCGTGATCAGTCAGAGGAATTTGTGATTGCGATTATGTCATGTCTGAAAATCATAATTGTACAGGAAGAAGTACATTTGTAGTACTAATTTTTAAGATATATTAGCGGCGTTTATTGTCCAATGACAGCCATTGTGAAGGAGGGTAGAAACCTCACTGAAAAACATACAGGAGGCCCATCACATGCCATACAGACCAATTAGGGTATTTAGTATTTCAGCATTGACCATCCTGTTTCTCATTTTTCTGCGTAAGAGAAAACCATCACAGGAAGATGGCATCAAACCACACATCTTGGACCTTCACCTAATGTTACGTAGACCAAAACTCTGCCAACTTAACTATGGTGACTGACCTTCTATAGAACACAACTGTTCTTACACCAGTGTAGAAGTTGATAGTACAGGTCACCTCACTAGCTTCAGCTTGTAGGAATGTCCCTTTTGTCATGTGGCAGAGTGCCTAGCTATTGACAGAAAGGTTGCTGGTTCAAACCTCAGCAGTGGGTTTTCCATTACTCCTGCCTATTACACCAATACCAGACATGGCATGTCATTACAATTTCTTCATTAAGGATTAAGATAAAAGCGTCATGGGAAAGTTACTTTTTATTAATGGCTGCCACGCATCTTTACCTTCAACTAAAATAGAATATGGTACCCTACTACCTTATTTAAACAATGTATATGAAGGTTTTTTACATAGTACCTATTGGTATACAAATTATTTTTAGGACCAACTTATGCCTGGAGAAATCTGATATCATTCCTTATATTTATTATAGAGTTTTGTCTTTTTAGATGAAGTGTATGTCACAGCTACGGAACCTTGTTCCTGATCTGGATTGGGATGTGGGCCTGCAGGCTTGGAATAAAGTCTATGACTTTCCACATTCCATTGCCTCTCGTCCGTCTGTCATACCAGCTGATCTTGGTGAACCAATCAGCACAAAACACATCTTCAGACCAAAGAAAGAACCTAAACGGCCTGAAGCCAAAGATTCTCGTAAAAAACTTTGGACTGCAAAGCGCAAGGACAAAAAGAAACGTAAAATAGACAATATATCACCACAGGAAACTGACAATGTAAAAACAGAAGAATGTCAAAGTGATGTACCAAAACATGAAGGTCAAGGTAACAGCCAACCAGATGCAGGAATTGAGTCATGTCACACAGATTCTAGTGTCAATGACAAAACATCAACAGACAGAAAGATTGACACTGACAAAATGGTGGCTGATCAGTCAGTTACAGAAACAACAGCAGGTGAAGCTCCACCAGTAGCAGAATCATCTCAAGCCGAAGAAGGACCGTCCAAAAAGCCAAAAGTTAAAATTACTTCCTGGGATCCAAATATGCCAGCATTCCGTGTGACCTGTAAACGAGCAGGAGCAAATCATAAGTTTGACTCAATGTGTGCTGCTTCAAACTTCGGGGCAGCTATCAACAACTACTTCAACTGGAATGTCGACATGATAAAATTTGACATTGAAGTGGTGCTAAATATCAGTGAGAATGACATACGTGTGTGTCTTGCCCTCACTAGAGGTAGTTTACACAAGAGGAATATTGTCTCATTTGGTCCAACTACACTCAGGTCCACCATTGCTTACAGTATGTTAAGGTAAGTAGTGTGAAAAGCCAGATTTATCCTGCGAGACATTTCTATCAGCCATCTCAGGGTTTTCTATAAGAGCCGGTTGCCGGCCAATTTGACCGGCTACTTTGATCATTTGGCCGCCTACACCAATCCAGTTCCGTAATAATGTTCCATACACGTAGCAAAATTATGGAAAACCCTGCATCTATAGTAAAGGAATGAGTGGGGAATATGATCTACTTACACAAGTCTTCTCAGAAATATGACATGTCTATAGTATGTACAAACAAAACTGACATATATTCTGATTTCAAAATTAGATTGCTTTGAAAAGAGAGAAAAGACGTGAGGAAAAATTATGCATCTTTTTATTGAAGTTTACATTTATATTTTATGTACACTTGTACCTTTCAACAGCTCATTCAATAGAATGTTGTGCTTTGATTAATGTTAAGTAAAGATATGCAGTGTGTGGTTTTGGTGAGGATATCTTTAAAGCTAACAATAGTATCACATGACCAATGATGTCATTTTTTGCGCCATTATCATCATCATAACTACATAGTATTAAATCAGAGCGTTTAAATCTGTGTTGGTGTTGTCAAACATCATATTACAATACAATTGATAACCAATATGTCATGTCAACCAAAAAAAAAACCGATAAGGTGCATTGGGGAGAATAACTGATACTGGGTGTTATGTCTTTAAGAATGAGAAAACCTACTGTGCCTGAAATTTTGTATGATAGCAATTTTTAGGTCATCTGACCCAAATGGTCAGAATGACATACAGCCATTGTGTTTTGGCCGTTATCGTGTGCCATCCGATGTGCATAAACTTTCAAATTCAAATGACTTCTTCTGAATAACCAAAAGGCCAAGGGTGCTGATATCGGTCCTTTACCATGAATGTATGAAAAGCTACCAAATTTGTTAAAATGATTGACCTTGACAGACTTTCTAGGTCACAGGGGTCAAATATATTGAAATATTTAAACAACCTCTGCTCAGTAACCTAGAAGCCCCAGGGTGCTGATATTGGGTCTGTATGATGCTTGGATTAAGGGCTATTTAGTTTAATAATGTGAATGACATTGATCTACTTTCAAAGTCACGATGGTCAAATATGTTAAAGTCTTTAAACAACTTTCCAAAAAAACGAAAAGCCCATGGTGCTGGTCCTGTATTATGCTGGGATAAAGAGCTACGTAGTTTCTTAATATGGAGTACCTTGACCAACCTTCAAAGCAACAAGGGTCAAAAGTGTTGAAATATTTAAATAACTTTTCTTTGTTACCAAAGGTCCATGGTGCTGATATTGGGCCTGTAGCCTGCTTGGATGAAGGGCTACCAATTTTGTTCATATGCTTGACCCTGACCAACTTTCAAGGTCACAGGTACCAAATATGCCAAAATCTGTACATGACTTCTTCTCGATAACCAAAAGACCCGGGGTGCTGATATTGGGACTTTGGCACACTGGGATGGAGGGCTACCAAGTTTGTTAAAAGGAATCACCCTGAACCACTTTCAAACTTTAAACAACTTCAAAATCTTTTAACAGTTCTTCTCAATAACCAAAAAGCCCGGGGTGCTGAAATTGGGCGTGTAGCCAGCTGGGATGAAGATCTACCAAGCTTTTTCATATTATTGACCATGATCAATGTTCAAGTTCACACAGGACAAGTATGTTGAAATGCTGATGATCGCCCTACAACATGCTGGAATGAAGGGTTACCAATTTTGTTCGTGTGATTGACATTTTCTCTTTTGAAAGGTCACAGTGGTGAAATTTGTTAAAATCTTCAAACAATTTCATCTCAATAATGAAAAGATCCATACTGTTGATATTTTTTAGTTTAAGTGGATGAAGGGCGACTGATTTGTTCAAATAATTGATTCAAAATCTCTTGGGTTGGTGAGTTGATATCTTGAAATTCCTTTTTCAACAAGCAATAGGTTTGGAGTAATGGCTTTTGTGTAGTAGCTTGTATAAAGAATATGATAGCAGGTTTGCACAATATATCTTCTTTGTAAGCTGTAGAGAAGTTGAGCAATTAATTTTAAGCCTATTTGGCCTCTGTCATCCATAGGTCTTTATAGCCAAATGTCCATGTAGGCCCATGGGCCTTTGTTTTCAGATTTTCTGGTAATTCATTTGAAGGTTTAGAATTTAATGGAATGGCCTAGCAATAGACATTATATTGTTCTCTGATACATATTTCATTGTCTACCATTAATCTGTTAACATGGTGTTTTGCCATCATGTTTCACAGAATTAGAGTATCATGCCTTGTCATTTAGTTTCAGTTTAACAGTTACAGGGCAATACAAGTACATTATAAACAATTTATTATATATATTTATCCAGCATCTGAAATGTATCCTCGTTCAGTATATATCTCTCTCTCTAACCTTACACTTATGTCAAGTTAACAGAACAGTCTAATAACCCCCTCTAAAAATCTTTTATTTTCAAAGTACAACTTAATGTCATCAGATGTCAGATGGCAGACATTAAAGGGATACAACCAGATATGTGTCTTGTCCATCTCGGTTTTACAAGTCGGTGTCTGTACATGTATACACGATTACGTCAGATAAATGACTGAGGGCATTGTCTAGAACTTTCTGATGCTGGTATTTGACATTGTATTCCAGACAGTGTCAAGATGTTGAGTTTCTGTCAGTCCCAGTGGTGGTAAATCTTTTTTGTTACAGATTTTCAACCCTAGCTGATCCGTTTTCTATGGTACATATCCTTTGACTGCAAAGATGAAATTGAGGTTGTCTATCCTTCTCATTTCCTCTTCGAGTTTTTACATTCTCACTTTTTTTTTTCTTTCTTTTCTTTTATTTTCCTTCCTTTTTTCCAATCACAATTATTTTACAAGTACTTTACCATTAATACTTATTGAATGAACAAACTCTGATGGACTTAATATTTAAAGTCTACTAGTACTTTATATACTAAATTAAGACCTGTCCACATTTATTGAACATTCCTTAGAATCAAAGACATTGGTTTGACTTTCCATAGTCTGAGTGAAATCAGTAGAATGCTGTAGACATTACAATCTATAGACATTTAATGGTTACCTGTGACTTTTTACAAGTTGAATACTAAATATTCTGATCAATGAAAGACATTCTTTAGGCTATTGCAGTAAACATGAAAGTGATTCATTCACATGCTTGCAGTACTGAAATGAGCAATGGACCTTAGTTTCAAGTCAACAATAGTTGATCTTTAACATTGCTGTTTGTAACAGCACAAAGGTTAGATAGCTTAATGGGATGGATTTGTTATCACATTAATTTACTTTTCACATGAGTCTGTACCATGGACTTAAATAGTGAGGAAATGATGTACATGTATGTTTCATACCTTGTAACTGTAACTATGTATGTTTCACGTGTGTCTGTTGTACATGTATGTTTCACATGTGACTGTTGTACATGTATGTTTCACATGTGACTGTTGTACATGTATGTTTCACATGTGACTGTTGTACATGTATGTTTCATACCTTGTAACTCTTATATATGTATGTTTCATACACTGTAACTATGTATGTTTCATACACTGTAACTATGTATGTTTCACGTGTGTCTGTTGTACATGTATGTTTCACATGTCACTGTTGTACATGCATGTTTCACATGTGACTGTTGTACATGTATGTTTCACATGTGACTGTTGTACATGTATGTTTCATACCTTGTAACTGTTATATATGTATGTTTCATACACTGTAACTATGTATGTTTCATACACTGTAACTATGTATGTTTCACGTGTGTCTGTTATAGATGTATGTTTCACGTGTGTCTGTTGTACATGTATGTTTCAAATGTCACTGTTGTACATGCATGTTTCACATGTGTCTGTTGTACATGCATGTTTCACGTGTGTCTGTTGTACATGTGTGTTTCATGTGTGACTGTTGTACATGTATGTTTCATACCTTGTAACTCTTATATATGTATGTTTCATACACTGTAACTATGTAGGTTTCATACACTGTAACTATGTATGTTTCACGTGTGTCTGTTATACATGTATGTTTCACGTGTGTCTGTTGTACATGTATGTTTCACATGTCACTGTTGTACATGCATGTTTCACATGTCACTGTTGTACATGCATGTTTCACATGTGACTGTTGTACATGTATGTTTCACATGTGACTGTTGTACATGTATGTTTCATACCTTGTAACTGTTATATATGTATGTTTCATACACTGTAACTATGTATGTTTCATACACTGTAACTATGTATGTTTCACGTGTGTCTGTTATACATGTATGTTTCACGTGTGTCTGTTGTACATGTATGTTTCAAATGTCACTGTTGTACATGCATGTTTCACATGTGTCTGTTGTACATGCATGTTTCACGTGTGTCTGTTGTACATGTGTGTTTCATGTGTGTCTGTTGTACATGTATGTTTCACATGTCACTGTTGTACATGCATGTTTCACATGTGTCTGTTGTACATGTATGTTTCACGTGTGTCTGTTGTACATGTATGTTTCACGTGTCACTGTTGTACATGCATGTTTCACATGTGACTGTTGTACGTGTATGTTTCACATTTGACTGTTGTACATGTATGTTTCACGTGTGTCTGTTGTACATGTATGTTTCACGTGTGTCTGTTGTACATGTATGTTTCACATGTGCTTGTTGTATATGTATGCTTCATACAATGTGACTGGCAGGTTTTACTCTGCTCTCTTATTGTTTTTACAAAAGTTTTATAATCTGAAATAATTTTCTTACAGATTGTGTGAAATAAAGCCTGGAGATGTTGTCTGTGATCCCATGTGTGGTACTGGAAGTATCCCAATAGAGGTGAGATTTGTGTCCTTTCAGACAGGTTGGTCATAGTTACAGATGTCTGTGGGTCAAGTGGCCTGATGGTGCAATGCTATACAGCTTGTCCTTTAAGTAGGCAGCCTTCTTTTGTTTTATAGATTCCATGTAGAATTTGCATCAAAGCCATCCCTAATTTTACTGCAGCATGTGCCGTGGAAATTGAGGAAAAACTTGATTTTAAAAGGGAGAGAATAACCTGTTTTCTGCTGTTTTTTCTGCATAAAAATCACTGTTTGCATAGACGTTTTTTTTTCAATCTAAGGCAAGAAACATGTTATTTTTCTGTTGTCAGAGGCCTAAACATTCCGATTGGAATAGAGAACGTCTGTTTGATTTTTTTGCATTTTTTTAAACCATATGCTTATATTTTTAATTTACTGTGTAAATTTACCATTGTCAAGCACAAATACAGTACATTCTTTCTAAATATAGTTTGACACAGGGGCTGGCCCTAACCTTTCTGACACTAATCCTGTTTTATAATACATGTACGCACATGAAAAGTTTCTGACCCAGTGACCTTATTTTCACAATTTTTCCATATTTGATATGATCTGGCACATTGTTTTTGATATATAATGTTCCATGATAACTACCAAACTTGATGGTTTACATGATAGCTCAGATGGTCAGAGTGTTTGCCTTTTTAAACTGCGGTAAAGATCTAAGGTGTGTGGTTTGACTCTCACTATCTGTGGCAGTTCCTGTTTCCTAGGAAACTGAGAAATGGACCAGTCAGTGCTGACACGGTTTTATCCTTAGGCATGGCACTTTAACCTTATTGCTTGATGGGCCTCCCATTTGTTGTTCAGTGAGGTTAAGCAACCAGTTTTTTACAAGGAGACCCTCTCTCATAATGACACTGGTTGTTCATAGGGCGACACACCCAACAAACTGTCGTAGATTACTCTAATGTCCAAAGATATATGGAAATGTTCATAATCATATTTGCTCAGTAGTATTTAATAACACTTACGGTTTCGGTGTCCCAAGAATAAAGTCTTCTGAAGTCCTACAGAGGTCATGATAAATGCAGTGACTAAAATCCTCCTGTCTGTGGTGGGTTTTTTTTTGGCTTTTTTGTTGTTTTGGCATCACAATGATTTCAGTGTTTTTATCTTGTACTTGCTAATATTACTTATTTACAATCCTTTGATGTCTTTTATGTGTTTAACTCTGTAGATTTTTAAAAAAAAAAGTTGAGAAAGTGTTTGTGATTCATGCCTTCATTTGTCTTTTATAATGGGTGTATTAAGGTTACCATGATCTCGTAACAAAAATGTAAGAGTCAACATTTCACAGAAGTTGTTTCAGCCAAGAACATAAATATTAGCATTGCCCATTTGTAAGTTTTTTGTACAGAATTTATTGAACATTATTTTAGAACCCTCTTTCCTTAGGAAACATAAATAGTCAGTTGCAGTTTGGCATATTGAGTTTCCCAGCGTCCCTATACCCTCTACTGCCAATCAATATACATTAATACGTTTCGTTGCAGAAACATAACTCACTCAGAGACATTCACTTTGTGTGAGCTACTGTCCTTTAACCCGCTTACCTTAAAAGTATGGTACAAACAGGTTTGACAAATCTCGGAAAAACTGGAAATTTTTAAGGCAAAATGCTTTTAAACAGTTACTACTGGCATCCACATTCATAGAAAATTCCAAAACCATCAATCTTTTCATAACGGTAGAAAAAATATGACATCAAGATTGAATATTCTTGTATGCTAATTACTCTGCAAGAGCTTGGGTTGCAAATCTAATAGAACCTGGTAAAAAGTTGGAGCCTGATACGCTCTAGGGAACTTGATACTAATGAAGAAAGAACACGGAAGAACAAGAAACAATAGAAAAGTGACAAATGAATGCCTGGCTGATGATTGGTTAAAATTACTTTGGCAGCATTGCTTATTAAGTATCCTTCAACATCTTAAAACAAATTTTTACATGTCAAATTTTAATGATGTAAGTGAAGAGTTTTTTTTTCAGGGTATTAGCAACCAATAAAGATCATGATTGTTTTAAGTTTAAACAGCAAATATTTCAATTACCTGGTAGACAACTCAAACAGCCCACAAAGAAAGAAATCTCTTCTAATTGAAAGGAAAACATTATTTTTTTTCTCATTTTTTCCTCATATCATTTGCCTAACATTATATTACATTTATAGACATATTTTAGGATGAAAAAAATGTTGAAAATATACATTAATATTGAAAGGTAATTCTTAACTTTCATTAATACTTGTATTGGGAGTTGTACCCACACAGGTGCAATAGTCATTGTGTAATCAAGTAGATGAGACATAGACAAATTATTTATTAACCTATTGTATTCAAACTTTCACAAATAGCAAACATTATAAGTTAATCAGTACATAACCTTACAGGGAAGATGTAAATGAGTTAAATTTTAATTTATGACATTTAAAAGTTCATCAATCAACAAGGAGTTTGTTGAGCTGAAATATTACAACAACACCAAAGGAACAAATGTTGGGTGTTTGAGGAAAGCCCAGGGGGAAAACCAATGTGCCATTGGTGGAAACATATATAGACTTAGCAGACATTTTCACAAATGGCCAGTGTGTCTGAAACCCATGTTCTAAGAGAAAGTGGTCGGAAGCTCATCCTTGATTGCACATCATAACGGTCAGACTGTCGGCACATTCAGGTGATTACAGCTACCAAGGCACTCGAAAGGATGACCATAATGATCAGTGTGGAGACCATTTCAGGGATGAGGCAAAATTGATACAGAATAAAATGCAATGATAAAAAGTTATGTCACATGTTGAAGTACTACTAGGCCTCTCAGACTCACCCTAAATAAATTTAAGTGTACATTATGATATATCTGGTAAAGGACGCTGTCCTAAATGGGTTTTGTAGTCAGATATTTTGTGCTGTTTGTAAGCAACAGGAAAAACACATATAATTCATGCTTCTTTCTAGGGTCTGTTTTATCAACATACACATTGGGATATTTTACAATCCTTGTGTAAGATTTTGGAAATTCAGCACTCAACAAGCATAAAAGTTTAAGATACTGCCTTGTCCAAGAAATAGATCTCTATTTCTTACATCCTTACAATTAAAATAGTAGCACATTGAATGTTGTTGTGAAACATATGCCATCATCTATTACTCATGAAATGTGAGTTGAAATGGATGATGATTACCCCCATACTATTTATAGCATTAAAGAATGTGCCAGCAGTCTTTTCCCTTGCAGGTGTGAGAAGGTTTTATTCTTAGCGAAAAAGGGAACATTTAGTGGGATCTATGACAAATAATGATCTGACTGTTTCTCTACAAGGAAGTTGTGTCTTGTCTGTTCTACATATAAAACAGTGATCTGACTGTTTCTCTACAAGGAAGTTGTGTCTTGTCTGTTATACATATAAAACAGTGATCTGTTTCTCTACAAGGAAGTTGTGTCTTGTCTGTTATACATATAAAACAGTGATCTGTTTCTCTACAAGGAAGTTGTGTCTTGTCTGTTATACATATAAAACAGTGATCTGTTTCTCTACAAGGAAGTTGTGTCTTGTCTGTTATACATATGAAACAGTGATCTGTTTCTCTACAAGGAAGTTGTGTCTTGTCTGTTATACATATAAAACTGTTATACATATAAAACAGTGATCTGTTTCTCTACATACATATAAAACAGTGATCTGGGAAGTTGTGTCTTGTCTGTTATACATATAAAACAGTGATCTGTTTCTCTACAAGGAAGTTGTGTCTTGTCTGTTATACATATAAAACAGTGATCTGTTTCTCTACAAGGAAGTTGTGTCTTGTCTGTTATATATATGAAACAGTGATCTGACTGTTTCTCTACAAGGAAGTTGTGTCTTGTCTGTTATACATATAAAACAGTGATCTGACTGTTTCTCTACAAGGAAGTTGTGTCTTGTCTGTTATAGTTGTTTCTCTACAAGTTGTGTCTTGACTGTTATACATATAAAACAGTGATCTGTTTCTCTACAAGGAAGTTGTGTCTTGTCTGTTATACATATAAAACAGTGATCTGACTGTTTCTCTACAAGGAAGTTGTGTCTTGTCTGTTATACATATAAAACAGTGATCTGTTTCTCTACAAGGAAGTTGTGTCTTGTCTGTTATACATATAAAACAGTGATCTGTTTCTCTACAAGGAAGTTGTGTCTTGTCTGTTATACATATAAAACAGTGATCTGACTGTTTCTCTACAAGGAAGTTGTGTCTTGTCTGTTATACATATAAAACAGTGATCTGACTGTTTCTCTACAAGGAAGTTGTGTCTTGTCTGTTATACATATAAAACAGTGATCTGTTTCTCTACAAGGAAGTTGTGTCTTGACTGTTATACATATAAAACAGTGATCTGTTTCTCTACAAGGAAGTTGTGTCTTGTCTGTTATACATATAAAACAGTGATCTGACTGTTTCTCTACAAGAAAGTTGTGTCTTGACTGTTATACATATAAAACAGTGATCTGTTTCTCTACAAGGAAGTTGTGTCTTGACTGTTATACATATATCTGAATGTTAGTGATCTCTGCTCATATTTCTACACGGTATAGTGTTAAAATGACATTTTCTGTGACTGTAAGTGAATATTACAATGATCTACTAAAGCCTGCCTTTTGGCAGGAACACACAAAGCTGCTAATGATGACAATGTGATGGATTCCACCACGATGCTGATTGTACATGACATGAAACATCATTTATTCTCATCTCTTTCCCATCGTCACTTTGAAACATTCTAATCCATCTCCATGACAACAAAGTCCAACTATATAATTTCAACTAAAAGCTTCGTTTTCAATTTTTAATCAATGCTGTGCCAGCCTGAACAACACCATGACTTTGGTGAATATTTTTATTTCCTGTGGTGTTCAAAGCAGACCAAAACTTGAATTTAGTATTTGTGTATTTTAAAGTCACTCATTAACGAAATGTATTTGATCATCAATCTTGATGACCAGGTTCGGCACATTGAGAGCACTCACGTACCCAACTTCAGGTGAAGATTCAAAGTGTGTAGTTTGATGCTCTCTGGTCCGGACTGTGTGTTTCTCTGAAAGCTGCGAAAATGCACCAGTCTGTGCTTTTTTTTCCTTGGCAAGATAGAAAGTTTGTCAGCCCTCTACCTAGCGGCTTCATTCCTTGAGGAAGTCTCATCAAACTTAACACATTTGTAAAGCGTCAAAATATATCAGTTGAATTTCCAGGCAAGGTCAAGGTTAATGGTGCTATTTTTAGAAAATCATTGTCTGCTCTCTAGTGGCTCCAATCCTTGATGGATTCTCATCAAACTTCACACCCTTGTAAAGCATAAAAATATCTCATTTCAGTTTTCAGGGCTGTTAAGTCAAAATCAAGGTCAATGTTACTCCTTATAGGAAATCCTTGTCACCACTGAATCAGGTCATTCCTCAAGGAATTCTCCTCAAACTTCACATACTTATTAGGCCTAAACAAGGTAAATTTCAGGGTTATTAGGTCAAGGTCAGTGTTATTTTATTTAGAAAATATTTGTCAACACACTAGCGGCTTCATTCCTCAAGGGTTTCTTATCAAACTTCACAAAACATCAAAATACCTTGAACAAATTTGAGTTTCAGTTTCATGGTCAGTTGGACAAGATCAAGGTCAGTGTTTCATTTTTAGAGAACTATTGTCAGCACACACTAGTGCAATAACAGTTTATTTCATAAGTATTCTCATCAAACTTCACACACTTACTAGGCATCAAAATGTCTCCAAACCATTGTAAGCTCTCTAGCTGGTGCATTCCTTACAATATTTTGATCAAACTTCTGACTTTTCTTCATTTCCATATTAACACCAAACAGCACCATCTTTATAAATCATTACAGTGTCACAACTTGCCAGGAGTGGAATGTGACATGTCTCTTCACTGAGTTACCATATCATGAAAGTATTTTGTTATTTAACTTGTTTTGTTTTGTAACTCAGAAAATCCCTTTTCAGTGATTTGCCAATAGTTCCCCTGCAGGTTTCAACAGATTACATCGCTAACCTAAAACTGGTGAATTCCTCCAAAGGAGTTATCTTTGTAAATTGGTACCCAAGACTGAAATCATGACCGTGAATTTCCATGAGGGGGCATTATCATTACAAGGTGATAATCTAGAATAAAAAAAGTAATGTGTTTTACCTGATGGGGCATTTTCCTCGCAGATAGATATCCTAGAATAAGAATAGTTACAGGGATTTTTCATGATGCCACATTATCATCACAAATCGATAACCTAGAATATAAATAGCAACGGGGATTTTCTAGGATGCGACATAATCACACATCAATCACCTAGAATATAAATAGCAACAGGGATTTTCCAGGATGCGACGTTATCACTAATCAATCACCTAGAATATAAATAGCAACAGGGATTTTCCAGGATGCGACGTTATCATTGCAAATAGATAACCTAGAATAAATATAGGAACAGTGATTGTCCATGACATGAAGTTATCATCTCAAATTGATAACCTACACTAAAAATAAACTACTTTTAGTTATGATATGGACCTCTTAATTGCAGTATCATATAACGAATCAGTTATCAACTTATTTTCATTAATAATGATAAAAGGCTTGTAGTAACCTCAAAAAAAGCTGACAATTGTATGATATTATATAAAACTATGTCTTATACTGTTTTGTTCTGTTGCATTTTCTAAACAAAATTTTCACAATGAAAACCATGATATCTGATATTAGATTCCTGAAGGAAATGTAAAAAATCTTGTATGAAGCAAATCCCTCATCGGGAACAGAAGTGTTTGGCCTAGCAGGAGAGAACGCCCCAATAAAGGATGTGTAAAGGCAGGGTTCCTATAGTTATAAAGGTCAAACATAGTTTAGTACATCATTTAGAAAATCCTTGTCTGCAGAAATCCAATACAGTATAAAGGAAGGAGTGTAATATATTCCGTGGGGAAGGAATGCAGGCAATTTTGTAAAGACTACATATATGTATTACTTAATGTTTGATAAAGGGATGGAAACAAAATTTCCCTGAGGAACATCGCGATATATATTAAAATTTTTAATACTATAAAGATGTAGCCTTTTTTAATGTCTAGAAAATATCTGGACACCTGAAGATGGGTTGATAAAATATTTCATCAAACCTAAGATGGCTGCTTCATTTATTGTTTCTATTCCATCAAGGCAATTGATTTCCCACATGACACACCAGCATATCTGTTATGTGTTTATTATCACACCAATTGTCTATATTCAATCATCTTTTTTGTTCAGTTCTATCGGTGAAAAACCTTGATTCTTTTTCTTGTATGATATTGAGCTGTAAATGAATTAAGTGAAAACCTTTCATACAAATTATTGGTATTAATTAAAATACTCAGTCTGGTAAATTAAAAAGTAAGAAAAATATCTAATTAGTTACATTGATAAGAACTGTTTTTGTTTACCACGGGGGCATTTTGCATTATTGTTCTTCATTAAATGTTTTTGTTTACTAGTTCTTAATTTAAAAAGAAAATCATTTTTCATCAGTTATTTCTTACAAATTTATGCAAAATTGAAATTTGTTTTGTTGGTAGGGTAAACTTGAATGTGTGTCAATATGAAACATGGTGGCAAGAAAATGTACATGTGTGAGGACTAGATTATCAAATTTTTATTTTTTTTTTTACTTCTTTTTTAGCTCACCTACCTGCAGGGCAAGTGAGCTTATGCTGTGGTACAGCACCTGTCTTTTGACCAGCATCAATGTTTTCCTTTCAGCCACTTTTTCTCAATGATTAGCACACTAGAGTTGTGATATTTTCCTGGTAACTTTCTGGTCTTAAGCCAAACATGGTCTGCAAACAGAAATTACCTTGACTAATATTCAAGAGCATAGGGTTGAATTACAAGGTAGTCAGAATTTTTCAATGTCTTCTTCTGACTAACCAAAAGGCCTGGAAGTGATAGTATTTTGCTGGTAGATTCATGGAATGCATCTAAACAAAGTTTCTGAAAAGAAACTTGACCTTGACCAATATTCAAAGTCACAGATTTATCAAACTCTGTATATGATTTCTTCTGGTGAACCAAAAGACTGAGAAGCATGATATTTGATTTAAAAGTGTTCCTAGGTTAAAGCCAGACAGATATCAAAGGGTAAAAAATTTAATGATATTTACCTAAAATGCAGGTCCTACCTGTCACTGTTAAGGGTTGATTGTTAGGAGCTTAACTTTGTTTTTGAAGCCAGCCGTATACATGTTAATGTATTTGTGATAAGCTTTGATTACCAGGTAAAAGATGCAGTCCTATTGTTCTTTCTATAAGGGTTATTGAGGGGAATACCATTTGAACACTGATGAAGCCAATGTATTTACATTCACCTGTCATTACAGGTAAAATTGTGATGTAAAAATCATAAATAAGCTTAGACTTAAGACCAGGACATTTTTCAGATATGGAAATAATTGGGTCAATTTCAACAAAAACTCTCTGTTGAGTCTGAATGATCGAGTCTGCACTTTCAACATTTTGTGCAGATGTTGGATTTGTCAAATTCCGACTTGTAAAAAAAAAGTAATTTCACTGGTAACCACAATTGATGCTCTTGTCTCTTTTCAGTTGGCACAAAATTGGAAAAATAACTTTGTCATTGGTGGTGATGTCTCAAAAAGATTCCTCGCCAGAGCCATTGAAAATATAGACGGTGTAAACAACAAGAGGGCAGAAAAACAAAGGTTTGTTTATCTTACAACTGCTAAGGAGCATAGGGGTTAGTGTTCTGTAGAGAAACAAAGAAATAAAGTGATATTCACCTCTGATAAAAATTATCCATAAAGCAAAAGTTAAATTCAATTTTTATTTCAATTAGAATAGTGAAATTATGGAAAAGAAGCAACATTTCAGATTTAAATTGCAAGGTTGAGGTAATTTTTATTTTATGTGATTATTCTCTGTCATCACATCATTATGGATATTTATCATTGTATGCAAGTAATGTTCTCTAATTAAGTTTGGGCTGTCTTGATTTTATTAATTATGTTATCAATATTTACAGAATTAAAATTGAAAATGATAAATATAGGCCTTGATACTGCCTATAGGATAATGGTACACAGTACATCAATTGTGTAAAAGTAATTTTTGTGAAATCAATCTTCATTGATTCATCCATACAACAAAATAAGTGGTATTGTCAAAAACTAAGCTGGCCAGGTTTGATCAAACACCCTATCTGTAACTTTTAATTGGTTCAAACATGGTTTTCTTTGTCCCTGCTTATCAACAAAATATGGAGATGTGGATTTGAGTGACTGTTAATATGTCCTGCTTTAGTCTCCATGCTATAATGTTGCTAAATGGGAAAGAATTTCAATCAAATTTAAGGTGCAGGTGTATCTTTCGTTCCTCAGCCTAAGTTTAACTAAGGATGTTGTTCATGGACGTTAATGCATAATTCATTGTGGACTTCACTTCTGATTGGCCAATTGGTTTCTGTGTATTAACTTTGCTAAATGTCAATGGATTTCAAGGGAATTTGGTTTACAGATACCGCTTACAATTCTTTAGCCTTTAGCTGCCTTACAAATTAACCATTGAAAGCAGGGGATATAAATTCTACAAGTTTTCTTTGGTTTCGGGGGCTTTTTCTTTGAGTGAAGATGGAGAGTGTTCACACAGACATATATGAATTTATACCATGGTGTTCAATAAACACCTTCAAACCTTACAGGCATGTAACTTGATAAAGTCTGTTCAGAGGTGTGTCCTTTTCAATGGTACAAATACATAGGACTGTCAAAGTGCTTTCATAGTTCACACATTATTGTTGGTGGAAGACAATTTTTAACAACCTAAAATTAAATAATGAATTTTGGTTGATGTTGCGGGTGGTAAAATGCAAGAATTTCCAGATAAGACTAATATATGCTTTAGTGTTTGGGAAATATCAGTTTCCTCAAGGGTAAATTTTAAGCGAAGTTGTCCTCCAATGTATGTCTCAACAAATGTATCGATATTACGGCTTGCCAGAACATCCATTTACACCAATAATAAGTACATAGAGAATAGCTTATAAGATATTTATAAGAAACACACTATTTTTTTATCAAGCCAAAGTCAAATAAAAGCCAGTTTACATTCCTGAATACACACAGGAAGTTTTAATTACATACTTTAAACATCTATATACCTATCCTGAGTTAGTGGGAGGGCATACTGCAGGAGATCACTAGGTCAAGGTCACAATAATATTCATGCCTTTTCAAGGTCACAGAACTCCTGTGCAGTAAAGCTATTATAGAAAACATCAAACCCATTAAATAGATAGAAAGCAGAAAATAGTTTTTGTGAGTTTTTTTGTTATGGTGTATGTAGGTTGAATAAAACACATGAATACTGGTAAATTTGTTGTACAGGGGCACAGTTGCTGCAGACCTAATGCATTGGAATGCAAAGAAGCTGCCCTTGAGGAATAGCTGTGTGGACGTGTTCATCTCTGACTTGGTTCGTATCAAAGTTAAGACTCCATCTGTTCTGTCTCTTCACCATGTTCATCAGTTATCAAGTTGTCTCACTGATTTTGGAGACATATTCTCTTACGATTGAAATATGATGCCGACATGTACAATTCACAGTCCAGCCGCATCCATAGGCAGGAAAAAAAGAAATATTGTACTGGAAAGACTGGCAAGGCCAAGGAAAGCTGCTTTTATGTCATAGCACATGTACATCTGTTACTTTCAAGATATATAACATGAATATTATAGAAAAGTCATAAGGCTTTTTTTTTTAAATACTTTTCTTTACCTCGGAACAATTTCATGTTATTCAAATAAATATTCATGACAATAAAGTGTATTGATTGTAATTTCCAAGGATTTTAAAGATAAAACATTGGATATCCCATTAGGATTCACACTACTAACATGATAATAACATGAATCTGTCACTTTCTGTTTCAGCCATTCGGAGTGAGGTATGTACAATGTATTCCTAACAGATTACTGTATACCTGTGGATACCTGTTTGCTATTTCTCCCATAAAGTCTCCTGATCTTTGATAGTTTCCTTTAAATAAAGTGTTTAATATTTTCAGTTTGCCTATTTAATGAAAGGTTGAAACATTTCTGTAAATAGTAATACAGACAAAGGTATTCTCTGTTTGTTTCAGTTTCAATACATCTGTTTTTCATGATCATGTTCCCTCCTCAAAAATCGCACAAAACAGAGCTCCTCAAAAATAACCACTTTAACTGAGTGAGTCAACATTTCAATAAGAGAATTTATCTCTGTCATAGGATGGGATCATTTGCCAAGAACTGGAAACTGTATGCTGACTCCATGGAGGAAATGGCTAGGGTGTGTACCCCAAAAACGGGACGAGCAGTCCTCCTAACACAGGACCAGAAGTGTATACATAAGGTACGTCCCTCCCCTTTCATCCCAGTAACCATCTAACACTGGACCAGAGGTTTATACATAAGGTATGTCCCTCCCCTCATGTCCCAATAACCATCTAACACAGGACTAGGAGGGTGTACATAAGGTATGTCCCTCCCGTCATGTCCCAGTAACCATCTAACACAGGACTAGGAGGGTGTACATAAGGTATGTCCCTCCCGTCATGTCCCAATAACCATCTAACACAGGACTAGGAGGGTGTACATCAGGTATGTCCCTCCCCTCATGTCCCAATAACCATCTAACACAGGACCAGAAGTGCATACATAAGGTCAGGTATGTTCCTTCCCTCTCATCCCAGTACCAATCTAACACAGGACCAGAGGTTTATACATAAGGTATGTCCCTCCCCTCATGTCCCAGTAACCATCTAACACAGGACCAGAGGTATATACATAAGGTATGTCCCTCCCCTCATGTCCCAGTAACCATCTAACACAGGACCAGAGGTATATACATAAGGTATGTCTCTCCCCTCCTGTCCCAGTAACCATCTAACACAGGACCAGAGGTTTATACATAAGGTATGTCCCTCCCCTCATGTCCCAGTAACCATCTAACACAGGACCAGAGGTTTATACATAAGGTATGTCCCTCCCCTCATGTTTCTGTAACCATCTGACATAGGACTAGAGGTATATACATAGGTATGTCCCTCCCCTCATGTCCCAGTAACCATCTAACACAGGACCAGAGGTTTATACATAAGGTACATCCCTCCCCTCATGTTCCAGTATTGAACAAAGATGTCTACATTAGGTAGTACATCACGAATGTCCCAGTAACCATTTAACACAAAAAACAAGAAGTGTATATATAAGATATGCCGCAGTAAGTATCTTAGAACTAGTAATAAATATGTTATCCATCCCATGAGTTTTCTGGAATGGAAAGTCTGATTTGAAATTGAATTCTTAATTTTTTCTAAACTATTTGAAATTTTGTTAAGGGAAAAAAAGTCAACTTTGGCTTCCTGTTTGTGTATTGAAAATGTTTACTTAATATACAGCTAAATATGATGCTATCAAACGCTATTGAATGACTCAATGATAGTAATTTTACCGTCTTGTACTGCTATGTGTTTACTATAATGGGCGTAAACATTTTTACAGACTATGTCCATGTTCACCAAGTACTGGACCAGAAAGGCAACTGTGGGCATCAACCAGGGTGGCCTGGCCGCAGCAGTGTATGTCCTTGTCCGCACAGCTGAGGCCTACAGTCAAAGTGAACAAAAAACAGACACCAGTGCTTCTATAGGAACAGAGAATGAATCACAAGTGAAAATTACAGAGGACAATTGATGATAAACTTATCTTTATTTAGATGATCACTTAACATAAGTGTTGCTGTCACCAGACTGAACATCAGTGTTGTTAGTTTTGAAATGATATCATATTTCTTTCACTTGATTCAGCATTATAAAATGGTTTTAGTTTGAATCTGCTGTCACCATGCTATAATGTTATGTGTGTAAATTTATTAAGGATGCTTTCTGGGAACATATTTCACATCTTTATCATAAGCTTTCAAAGCTTTCATTTAAAGACATGGGTGTTACTGAAAGTTTACCAGAATGTGATGAAGTTCATGCATGTGAATGGAAACCATTGAATTAGTTTTGCATTCCTAATAAAAGATGTTTTATTTGAAAAACTTATTTCTATTTGTAAGCAGATTAAATTGAAATAAGGAGGCAAAAAATTACTTTCCCTTTCTCTAAGGTAGGACAGAGAAATCTCTACCCACAAGGGATATCCTTGACTGGAGTCTTTCCCTAACTATTAGGTAATCTCTACCTGTTTAGGAGATTCTTGATAGTCTACCTTTCGGCAAAACTGACAAGAATCTCATCTAAACATAGCTCATGAAGTAGTGATTTCTATTCTATCCTAAAGCAAAGGAAAGATCCTACAAGTCTCCAGACAAATCTAGTTCCCAAATATTTATGCAGACAAGAAGCTATTGAAATAGAAATCCTGACACCGGCAGATGTTTACACAGGCCTCCAAAATCATTGTCAAGTCTTGTTAAATAGCAAGGCAAGATCATTATAGTTTCATACTTATTCCATTAAATAAAACATCTGTTCCAACAACAGAAATGAACAAAAATTTGACAGAAAGTGATTTATTAAAGCTTCAACCTTGATTCCTAATTTGTACTACGTTATTTTGTACACTGTACAAAGTATGGAGATGCAAGGTAAGAAAGACAACTCTATCATCAAGGAAATCTATTGGTTGCTTCAAAATAGACAATTTACAAGTTTACCCCAGAATAAGAGTTAAATAGCCATATTTGTTTTGTTACTTAGATGTTGATACTCATTACATATAGTCCTGCTTTGTACAAGACCACAGAGGAGCCCCAAATATCTTATATTCCACACCAAAAAATTGCTCTTTTTAAGATGCGAGATGAAAATATCCCCTCTTAGAACAGTATATTACTTTAGTTCAATATGACTAAACTCATTTTGAATTTAAATGGCCATGCCAAACAGACATCTTTTTAGAAATTTTAGTTCTCAAACTTTGCATAAATAAGTTTGACATTTGAAAATTTGTTACTGATTCTAAGTTTTTCAGGAAATACCATTGTAATGACAATAATTTGTTAATTTGTAAGGAAGTAAATTGTGCAATATAAGATTTGCCTTTAAATTGTATCAATATCCTAAACAATCCATACAGCATATTAATAGTGTTAGAGGAGAACTAAATCACAAGGATTGTTTTGATTTCAAAAAATGAAAGTGCAATAAATTTTACAAAGGGGAACAAACAAGAAAACATTGCAATTTTCAAAACAATGAACTTCAATTGATACATACAAAATAACATGGTGAGTTCTGTACTTTTTTTATTCATAAAAATAGCACATTTTCTTGGCAAATACAATTTTAAAATAGTGACAGTATTTACCAAAATACAAACTAAAGCTTTACAATAAACTGTTGAACAATACTCAACAGAAACTTGATACTAAACAAGTACATCAACCTATAAAATAAAAGGAATGTTTCACACGAGTTAACAATGAACAGATAAATTCTAGTATGCTGCATTTGTGTTTGAAATTTTGATTATGAAGAATTTTTTAAAAATAAAATTTTCTTTCTGATTACATTTTGAGATAAATGAATTCCATCACTTAGATTGATTTTTGAAAGTGTTTGTAAATAGATGTTTTTTTTTTATATCACATGTATTATCTTAATACCTATAAGAAATATCTTAAAAATATATTTATATATTTAACAACAATTATCTGTATTTAATATCACTAAATTTTGTTTAATTGAATGACATCCAATTATCAAGCTGTCACAACCACCATTAGGCACTAATGGTACATAAAGCAAAGTAGTAAAATAAAGCAGAATGTTTATCTCTCTAAACTAAAGTGTACTTAAATTTCTACTTGAATATATTGTAGGAAATTAAATACATCAATTAATGTAATATTTTAGCAAGATACAACAGAAAAATATATATATTAACAATCTCATAACATGAAGTGAGAACAAATGCATATAAAGCATTAAGTTAATGCTACTGCGACATGATATGTATGTTTTTAACCAGTCTATCGATTAAACACCACAAAATATACTTATATATTGACATACAGTAAAACATTCTCATCAACACAAGGAAGCATTTGTAAACATCATTACAGAAAAAAGGGAACTGATTTGCACTGCTGTACAATCTTGCATACCATGGAATTTGAAGTTTCTGGAATAACCAGGAACTATTTTGACTTGTAAGCAAAGGATGATACCCTAGCTAGCACCCCTTAGTTACATTATGTACTGTATGTACTATATATCAGCTTAAGACAATAGCTATGTACCATACACGGAGTAGGTATCCTTGGAACACTTTGGCACATGAAAAAAAAATACTAATAATAGAAACTAAATTTACATTTTTCCACATGAAAACTCTACCCATTTTCTGTTCGCAGTCTGGATACATATATGTATATCAAGCACCAATATCCAGACAAAAATCCCAAACTTGTTCTGCTTGAAGTCCAGAACTTAAAATGGACATTCATTGTGACAGGATAAAGAAATGATATGTAAACACAAATGAAGGCAGTGTCTTGTAAATGATATTACAGGTAAATAAATTTACAACTGATTGACACTTCAGAAAGTCATTTACCGAGTTACAAAATTATCTCTGTTCTGTTGCATCTTTCTAAACCAATAAAATCAAAATTAGTTTTATTATTGTTTGTGCATGATTTTAATAAAAACAAGTATGTTGCATCTCAATCAAATTTGTTTATATTTCATAAAAAAAAAAATGATTTTGAGCCAACTCCTGAAAAAGTGTATTTCTCATCTTTCATCCAAATGTCACGAGTTAAATTCACCAAATATTGTACAAACTTTAGAGTAACTTTGTATGTAACTACTGTGCTTGTAACTGAACCATCAATTTGATCTAATCAAGTTTTTAGAAATAAAACACAAGTTGTGCCAATTATCATTTCAAATTTTCTTTAGCAAATACATATATATATGTAGACCGATTAATAAGTTTGACTAGTTGTATCAAGATAACTTCTTTTTTGATTGGCTTATAAAGTTACCAATGGTATATATCCTACTACAAACTTCTCAGGCCTGCCTTATACTGACAATTTTTCATAAATGCCTTTACATTATAAGCAGAGAACATATGTATGAGTATATTACTAGGACTTACAAATATTATAATAATATGTTGATATTTAAACATGTCAGGTCACCGAAAAGTCCCACCTATATGGATGGCACATGGATATTCCAGCACATCAAATAATTGCCAGCCGAGACCTCAATACATATAAAAATAATGCAAAAACTTGGTCATCACTAGAAAAAACTGCATTGAAGAATCGTCTTTGGATTGTAATACAATCATATATACAGACTTCACAATAATATGTCAACTAAAGGAAGTTTAACAATCTTTTGTGAATATACAGCTTGATGACAATTAATTAAAGCAAATTAAGATAGGTTCCATAGAAATAAGTCTATCAATAAAAAAAAGTGTGCTGACTAAATAAAATTCTACCTGAACTTTTCTCGGTTGAAAAGTCTGGAAATTGTTGATCGACAAATTACATGGTAGAAATTTTTGTGGAGAGAAAAGAATTCAGAAAGAGTTTCCAAAATCAAATAATCTATACTTTTCACATTCAGATGTATACAGAACATTTAACAATTATTTTCAGCTGTTTATCTGCTGGATATTCAAGGTAACACGTACATTTTACATTACAAACACATAAAGCATATACATATTTCTACTAACATCACAAAAAATAGAATTGAATTGTTTGGAAAGCCCTTTTATGAATGATTTGTGCTACTGATATGGTTACAGAAAGGGTTAATTTTGACTGGAATAATTTGAAACTACGAAAAATATTGAATAAATATACAGGTTCAGTCTATGCTTGGAGAAACACATATCCTCCTTTCTGTCTTCTTTTATTATTTTTGAAACTAATAGTTTATTGCAAAATATGTATCTGCTCAAATGCAATAAAGAAATGTCCCATGGTACATGAAAATGAACAGTTCTGAGATTTCATCCTGAAGTAGTAGTCTCTTTGAGTATTCCATAATCCTCCTCCAGCCTGTTGCCTTAGCCAGTCAAACAGTGTCATTCCTGTGGTTGAAAAGGAGACGATTTGTGATTATCACTATTGTTTTCATTATTAAACATCAAGGAGACTGTGATTTTTCACAAGTTTTGTTATATATAATGAGCCATTTAATTTACTGTAGTACCAAATGAAATGAGTAACATTGCAGTTAACATGTGTATTGGAAGTGATTTTGAGGCTTGGAAACCGCATGAAACAGCCTTGTTATTACTCTATTTCACCAAGCCTGTGATATCACCTGTTTCATGCATCAATTCAACTATGCTGTCAAGAAGAACACAATGCCAAAATAAGAAAGAACATTAAAATCAAATGAAGAAAACAAGAGTATCAGTAAATCTGATGAATGCTCCCCAAAAACAACTTTACTGCTCACAAAATGTAACAAATGGCTATTGGAATAATCCTGTAATAAAGTGGTTTCAGGTACTTAATTTGGTACAATGTACATCTTCTTAATATGACCAATACATACACAAAGTTGCATTATCAAGTTCAAATGAAAGCAAAGTTATGCTTTGGATATTAACAAAGTTCATTAACTCTGTAATTATGTGGTTGCAGCCCCTGAATTTGGTACACATCACATCCTCTTAATATTTTCAATGTATTCATCAAATTTCATGATCCTAGCTTAAATGAAAGCAAAGCTATATAATTACAAACCAGACACCAAAGGGCAATAACTCTGTAGTTGGGGTTTTGAACCTTATATTTTGGTATACAGCACACTAGTTTTGTATGACAAATGTATACATCACAATTCATTATTGTAATTTAAATGCAGACTAAGTTATGGTTTGTACATAAAAGGGCAATAACTCTGAAATCAAGGGGTTGCAGGCATTGATTTTGGTAGACTGTACATCCTTTTAGTATGATCAATGCATACACCAAGTTTCAATTTAAAGTGGTAGTCTGGACACAAACTTTTAACAAAGGCAATAACTCTGTAGTTAAGCTGTTGTGGGCCCTGAATTTGGTGCACTGCGCATCATTTATCCAAGATCAAATGACAGCAAAGCTGTGCACCAGACACAAAATTTTGACAAAGTGCAATACTTCTGTAATTGAGGGGTTGCATGCCCTAGATTTGGTACACTTCACATTGCCTTAGTATGTCCCATATATACACCAAGTTTCATGATCTTGCTTAACTGTGGGCACCTCTATGCTCCTCCAAACAAATTTCAAGGACCATAGAAAACAAGGAAATGTCACAGGATATGAAGATTTTAGCATGTTCTAGGTAGTTTTAGTAATAAAATGTATCTTGTCAACCAACTTTCTTTCACATGTGACTTACTTTCACAAATTTTGCCATCAACTGTCCAGAAAGGAAATTTACTTTTCTGATTTGATGGTATATCACTAATAACTAAAAAGTGCTGTTTATCCTGAATCTATGTGTACAATACATACAGCAACAGCACATCTCATAAATCATAAATCCACTTCGTGATGAAATCTGAGGAGTATGTGTCTGATAAATCTTAAGTGGAGAAGAATCACCAGACTGTTTGACTTCAGTCATGCATTTTCCTATTCAAATACTGTCCTACATAACGAATATTACAATATTTATTAACGTTCTTAGTAAATTGTATTAGTGAAATTACAACTATTAGATGTGGAAGAGAGTTGGTCTACTGTACAATTTCTTTAGCATTTCACAAACATGCACCAAAAAAAATCAAGTTTTTTAGAGCAAGTCTTTTTATTATTTTTGAAAAATAAGTTATGAAGGTCTTCAAAAAGATCAAACACAAGCCGTAATAAAAAGCTTTTAAACAAAACAAACAAAACAGTGTGTAAATCAATCAGTCATGCTGTCATGCATGTACATTCATGTGTTTTTTATGCTTCAAATTACTGACAATCAAAGTAGACAACTTGTATTTGCATGATATATATAAAATGGCAGCCTGAAAATATTTGCAAATGTCTATGTGTTCAAAGGAATTTTAATTTAATTAAATTAAATTTTTTATTGTTTTAACTTTCCTCCTTATTAATGCGATGAAACAAAGACAGTAATCATGGGAACAATGTTCTTTTTATCCAACGCCCCCATCTCCTGCAAAATCGTTAATGCAGTATATCAGTCAGAAACTTTGTTGATTTTATAATCACGATTTTTAAATCACACCTGAAGTGCACAAAGGGTCTTATTGTGTGAGGAAACAGGAGTACCCAGGTAAAACCAATGTGGAAAATCAGGTGATCTCATACCTTTCTGTGCCTTATCAGGAAATAGCCACCTACGTGACAATGTATTTATTACCTTTGCACCACCCAACCCAACCCATTTACTCCATACGATGAAAAGGATTAAGAAGATTTATCTCCATTTCCCTATTGTGCCCAATTCCCTTACCTTTAGAACTGCAAAAACCTGCCATTTACACAAAGTTTAGCACGACACAACATGATGAATACACAACCATATCGTATATTGATAGCCATATATCTGAAACCAGTCCGTGGACCAGAGAAGCAAACATTTTGTAATGATATAATTTGTAAGGATCTATACCGTATGTAACACCAAAGAAACTGTAGACACGAGTCATTGTAAAATCGTGCTGAGATGCAAAACCTGCTGGCAAACACCAGGTTATTTCTCATTTCATATTAATTATATGATAATTTTTATCATATTTCATTTTAATATTTCAGTTTGTTATAAATTTATAAATGAGCACTTTAGATACATACATCTTCCTTACACATTTTCTTTATTGCACTGTTATTTGTTCCAAAATTCATTACCTGGCTAAGTCATAGCAATATTAGTAAAATATTAGTAAAAATTGCTGCAAAATCCAACGCAAACCTTTCATCATGCAGAGTTCATTCATATGATCACACATTTTTTCTCTTTCTTACGTGGACATTTACATCTATCTTCATCAGCTACCCCGTCAAGTACCACCTCAATATGCTTCCCACAACCTGTAAAACAATGTCATCATGATGTTTTAGTGACATGACAATATTAATGAAGAAAATTAACTGAAGAAATGACGTAAACCTATGGAATTCTACTACACTGTCAGTGTACCATGCTGTAACATTTACTGAGTAATCTTATCCTCCAGGGGTCAACACATTACACCTGTACTTGTCACTGAAATTGATCTAATTCTGTGGTTCCCCTTATAAACTGTGTGCACCACTCTTTTGTATTGCTGATAACAATTTTGTGAGTCTCATTCTGAAACATTTTATTACTGATAAATGCAATGCTAAATTTAGAGAGATTCTTGAACACTGTATATAGTTATAGCATCACAACATATTTGAGATGTAAATATTAAATTTTTGAAGAACTGTTTTTACTATCATATCCATTAAAGGGAGGTGGTGTTTAACCATTGAAAGTTAGATAAAAAAAAAGATCTCATCAATCCTAATATGGTATAACTAAGATAAACCTACACAACAATTTGAGAATGATCACAGTGGAAATAAGTCTTCAGACTTTACTGTGTTATCTTGGTTCAACAAAATTGTTATTTTACATGTTTGTATGTATTTTAATATTGTGTTTTACCAAATAAAAAAAATACAAAAATTACAAATCCTTCCAGTACTTTTGAAGAAAGTGATAATATGTTGCTGTCAAAATAATTATTTACCTATTGACTATAATAACGGAGTCTGAATATACATAAATATACTTATTAATTATGACTTCCAGTCATATTCATATTAACGCATTTTGACTACAGGAACCAGAACCTTTGTGTGAAATATTACTATAATACAAAGGTATTACTAAAATGGCAAGAATTATATATGGATAATTCAATGTTTTTAGTGGTATAACAGCTATATTTCACATATGGAATATCCGACTCTTGTGTTTTCAGTATAATTAGCCCCTGTGATTGAAATCGGTTCTGACATCATCATCAACATCAAATAAATATATCTTACCACTCCACGTAAATTTTTGACATTTTTGGCACTTCACTTTAAAACACATGTTGTACGTATTCCAGTCGCTTCAAAACACGAAACGTAACAAAATACCCTACATCTACAACAGTCCGTCTCTATGGCTGTCACATTCAGACCAAGGCCGATCTGTTACAGTAGGCCTACTGTAAAGAGTTACTGTATGTATACAGTACGGCTGTCCGTACGAGACGACCACCCGTATCAAATTAACGGATATAAGATGTTTCGTAACGTGTAGTTAAATTATCATCTACTAAAGACGTTAGATATATTTTCTTCAGATATTTAACACACTCTGACTGTGATGAATATTAATAGAATCAAGGAGTAAACAACTGGTTATAACTTAGCGTCTTTCATTATTGTATTCGGCATCCATACTTCTGACACCGGTACAATTTCTGGGATGTCACCCACCTGAACAGGTAACGTACAAAATATGTAAGCACTAAGGTAGACATCAATATTCACCCAATCACAGCTCCGCTTACCTTAAGTGTTATAACACGAGTTGCCGGAACATACTTTATGCTGGTTGTTGTTTCATCTATTCTAGGACGTGTAATTGAAATGATGGGGGGCTGATTTCATGTATGTAGCAAATAACATTTGAGTTAACTTGCCTTTTTTCTCCAAAAAATACTTGTCTCGTTAAGGTTTTCAAAGTTGATATGCAAATTTTAACGTATAAAATTTACTATGAAATTTTGACATTTATAAAGAGGAGGAAAAGGTTTTTTTAATCGATGACATTTAAAAGCTGGGTAATATTTCTATTTGATCAAGGATTTTATATACAGTCGAAGTCTGTGAAAAAATATTGATTCATACTTTTTAATCATGAATCATTTCCAGTTTATTCGTGTTATTATTATTTTTTGACAAAAACGAGACAAAATGGTACTGATCAGACCCATCACTGCTAAGACGACACGAGCGGTATTTAGGTCTACTAATACCATGGCCTTTCAGAGGACGAGAACCCTTACTCAAAATTGAGAAAAATAGATAGTTTCATTACCACTTATAACCCGTGAAAGAAGAAACCGTAATCCGAAAGTATCATTCTCGGATATCCTCTCTGTTTAATCTCTAAGCGATAGAGATATTACTCATAATGTTGAAGTTTTTAATCAACAAGAACAGTTTATAAAACATTTCAATGCATTTGTAATTTTGAAAAGTATACATCTGTTTTCCATTCATCTTAAGGACATTTCGCTCGAACTTTGTATCATAACAAACAGTTTAGAGAGTAGGCGTATACTTTACGTAAACATTAACCATGTGGGTTTTGCGGGAAAAGTCTGCCGACGTAACGACTTCGGAAAACTAGTGTTTGTAAGTGAATCATTGAAATGCAAGTATATAAAGGAACACAGAAACGTTCTTTTAAAATGTTTTCTAACTTCAATATCAATGTTTTTTTGCAAATTTGCTCGTAAATACCATGAAAACGGGATTCGAAACCCAAGTAATAATTAGGTAGCTGACATACAGACATACCGATGTGACTATGGTCCGATCGATCCGAAAAGAAGTTTTAAACTTATGTTAGGTCATTTTATATAACCATTTATATTTAAATATTGAATCGACAACCATACGATTCGTCTGAGATAGAATTAACACTTCGGACAATAAACTGGTCTTATTAATTATAACATCTTCCGATCCATACACAGCTGGAAATTGAAAGAGTTTCACAAACAGATATTAGATCAGCGTACTTGTTTCTGAAGTTAAGTCCTGAATCTTTTCTGGCATTCTCCAATGGATGTTCAGGCTAAATATGTAGAACACAACTGTAAACACTTGAACTATATTTGTGTTGGAATAAAATTAGAAATTCATCTGATTTGTGATCAAATCTTTTTGTGTCCATTGTACATGTTGCTTCATCTTCTCATGATAGAATACTGCATCAACACTCAAAATTCCCTCGCTTCAAACAATCCATTCCACAGATCAAAATCACATGACTAAAATTGGAGAAAACTTCAGTCCAAGATCAAACTCGAAAGGCATCTTTTCATATGTTTGTAATCCCATGTCATAACTTATCCTCTCCTACAGCAAAAGCATCCCACTAATTTACGCCGGCATGTCTCTGTGTCATAATTTTTAAAAAAAAGTGTGTGTAATTTTTTTGCCTGTAGTGTTTTGCAATGGTTTGATCATGAGACATATGTACAAGGTGCCTCAGTTCCCCAAACGAATCTGGTATTGTTAGAAAGTAAAGTAACAGGAGCTATATATATGTGCAACATACTTATTCTTGTTTTTTTTTTTTTTTTCGGGAAAACTTATCAGCACTTCTGACTGGACATTATCAAATTGTTAAAAAATGGCACCAAAAAGGAAAGTATCAGTCATTAAAGACCAGTTCAATTCAGCGGAACCTGATATAAATGTGAAAAGGAAAAGACAATGTAAGAATGAACCTAGTAATAAGATCACTCAACCTAAAGAAAAACAGGCTGAAAAAGCTGTTAAAAGGAATGCAAAATCTCAAGTAAAAAAGGAAGTGACAGTAAATCCTGTGGACTCTAAAGATGATAGTTCGCATAGGAAACTCTCAGGTAAAGTCAAGAAAAAAACAGAAACAACAGTTCCAAATGGTAAATTAAAGGCACCAAGGAAAGGGAAGAATGCCGGAAAAACAAACAACAGTGTAAAAGAAAAGAACTCTGGACAAGTAAATCTTGAAATTGCCAAAAAGCAAAACAAGATTTGTAATGAGTCAGGATCTGAAAAATTTATCAAGTGTGAAGATGAAATTTCTGATCTTGGTTATTTTGATCCTTTAGCAAGTTTACGTGATAAAGCAAACAGCATACAAAATACATCAGGATTTGATATTGATTATATGAGTTCTTGCAGTAGTGATGACAGTGAGTCTGAAGTAGAGGATCAAAAGTTGGCATTATCCTCAACAAGTTTGAAAACAAGTTCTATTAATGAGGGCAAAGTTCTTGGTAAAACCTCAGAAGAGTCAGAGCAAAAAAAGAAAGACTTGATCACAGACGCATCTGAAGTTTTGCATTTAACAAACAGTTTAAGGTCTTCAGATGATGACTTTGAGACTTCACAGGTAACAACACCAGGCAGAAAGAGAAAAGCTTGTTTAAAGACAAGTGGAAGTGGTAAACAAGAAAAAAGGAAAAAAATTATCAAAACAAAAAGTGAGAAAGTGGAGAAATCATCCCAAAAGAGCAAAAGTAAGCAATTATCTACGCCAAAACACGAAAGTAAAGATGGTGTTGTGGAAAGATTGAAAGTAATGAAAACAGATGTTATAAAAACAGAAATTAATAAGGGTAGACAGAATCTATTGAAACATCTGGATGAATCTGATGTAGCATCTGTGTTGATGGTGATGGAGGGCAAAAAGAAGGGGGACAGCTCTGAGGCAGGTCCATCAGGGTCACTCAATGAGTCCAGTTTGTCTGATGAAGAGAGCACCATGGATAGCAGTGAGGATGAGGGAGGCTGGGAAGATGTACAAGGTATGTATACTGGTGCACTGAAACATTTAAGTTCTCATTTGAAGGTTTTAATTTTTTTGGCAATTTTGCAAAATTGATTCATTAGGCAAAAAGTATTGAACACCTGTTGTACCTATTTCTGAACATTTTCTTTTGGTTTGTTATATCAAAAGAAAAAACGTGCTTACAACACAACCAGTAGAAGATTGGATTTAGGAACATTCACATTCTAAGTGTGAAGACTAAGTTTAGGCTAAGATCCCTGGATTATTTTGTACATTTCTGGTTCTGATTTTTGGGAGCACTACTTTTGGATGGTCTTTAAAATTGGAAAATAAGGCATGTTTCATCTTCTTTTCAATATATGCCAGTTTGTAAAAGTTTAAACATTTAAACATCAGAAAAACAGAATGTGAACAGCAAGTATTTTTTTAGATCTAGGAAAATTGGTGAATTTTCTTATACATTATAGTTCAGTTTTACATACTTAGCATATAGTAATTGTTTCTGTTATATATATCTTATGATAAATGAATTCCTTGATTAATTATTTTCTGTGTTTGGCAGATGACCCATCTCAGCGTTCACCTAAGAAGAATCAGCTGCCTGAAGGAGGTGTTGAAATCACAATAGATGCTCCTGAACTTTTCAAAAAAAGGTACTCTACCAGATTTATGGATCAGTATTAATGACTATACTGATATGAGATTATTTGTATGTTAGTGTACACTGTACATTATATATCAGTATACTGTAAAACATATATCCTTTGCAAGAGTCTCATACCTGCATAATTCTTACTTATAATCAGTTTTGAAAATTCAGGGGCACAAGAAATCCAGGTGTAACTTATGAAGTTTTGGAGTAATTGACAGTTAAAGTCTACATCTATTAATTGATGCGGAAAAGAAATTGACAAGTCGATAGTAATGTAGCTTTTTAAATGTTGAGATCTTTTTTGCATTGGTACTCATTGTAACATATGTCAGATATTTATTTGAGAAATTTATAAGTAATGTTGTTTAAATGATGATACATGGATACATAATAGCAAATTTTTGATGGATTCAGCTTATAATCATGACTACAGAAATTATATAATTTCTTTAGTTCTGTCCAATCATAAGCAGTGCTTTTTATTTTCTATTCACAACATTGAATTTAAAATCAGAGTGATGCTTTCTGTTAACATATGTTATATATTGGTAGAGATTGTATCGCACTTAAACATGACGAAGTGTTATTTTGTTTTTGGGGATATAACAGGAAAAAGAAACAGTTTGACTGGAAGCAATACGTACAGCGTCAAATCAACAGATTTCAGAAGGGTGTACGGGAAGATATTCACAAGGTACGTTAGAGATATTGAAGGATATTCACTTAGTAGGAATTGATCACAAGGTATCTGTATCTAATCACAAAGTTTATAGATAATTCTACAAACACTGGATTAGTTTCAAGATTAAGTTGTGAATTAGCCCAAAAATCAGGTATCGCATTGAAAGTTCAGTAGTCATTTCATAACCATCTACAAATACACATGTAATGAGTCTGACACCAACATGAAAATAAGTTTTACCATCTCTAATGTTCTGAGGCAAGGTCATAGTCAGTTTATGAATTTTTTATATCCATTTGTCATGTGAAAGTGTTGTGTCAGAAAGAGTTCTTAATCAGTTATTGGCTAGATTTATCCTAATGACTGAGCCAAATATAAAGATATTAGTTTTCTTTTGACCTGTGAACCTTTTGTCTGACCCTGACCTCTGATCTAAACAGGTTCACTTGATGTGCCTACTTGTAAGAGGTATGTACCTGAACAGATTGTGTAACTGCCCACATCTGACAGCCCAAGCGATATCCATCACCCCTGATGAGTTTAGCAGCCGTCACCCTAATAGCATCACCATGGCAACGCTGTCTAAAATGGTCGAATGGTTCAAGTCAGTGATTGCTATCAATGAAGGACAGTCTGAAAAAGAGGAAATGGTAAATAGAAGATAGTTAAAAATAGCAGGAGATAAGTCAATGCTTTCTCTGTATTATTATGTGTCTTTTTAGCCATTGAAAAAAATCATGATTATTTGCATTACTCAAGGCTTTTAGTCTTACTGCAGTAATTGGAATAAGTTCCAAATATTACTTCAAAATTAGTTTGATTGAAATAATTTGAAAAAAATGACAAAAGTGATACTTAGAAATTTTGTGGAAAGTAGAAAAATTGTGTAGCTCTTTTTTATCTACTTTTCAGGCACATGTATTACAAAAGGACTTTGAAGAGAAGAGGACAAACAATCTATTTGAGTTTGTACTAGTGAGTATCAAGGTTGACAGATATGTTGGTCGAGTCATTTGTTGAGCTTGTATATGACATGGTGTGGCGAGGCACTTATTGTCCATAATAACTCTGTCAACTATTTCTTCAGAAGACCCATCCTTATCATCAAGGTGTTTTCTTACACAGGTCATATTGAATCCTCCTTGATATTGAAATTATCAATAGATTATTTTATGAAATGAACTATAGCTGTATATACTGTACACACCAAACTGAGATGAATTTAACACAAGGTAAATACAGTATTTGTGTATTATATGATAAAGAATGTTGACAATTGGAATTGATGCTCACTCACATAGATTTTATTCCTGGTGATAATTTTCTCAATTTTCTATTGATCGCAAAATCAATGAAAGGTTTGTTTATGGTTCATTGTAAGTAAACACCTGGTAATGCCTGTTGATATCAACTTTGTTTTTTCAAAATCTAGCACAAGATACCTTATAAGTCTCAGTAAAACATTGGCCATTAGAGTTAGTGTTGGAGATTGTTGTTACTGTAATGTTTATTTTTCCTCAGCTGTTTATCATTCTACTTCGGAGTATGGGTCTGGAAGTACGTCTTGTGATGTCTCTGCAGCCATTGTCCTCAAAACCTGTGAAGGTAGGAAACTAAAATTTTGCTACATTTCTTTGAAGAACGGTTTGAATATCATTGTCATTTCTTCACTTTGTTTGATATTGTCAAGATTCGTCTAATTAAATTCACATTTAAATAAAGCTTGAATCAAAAATATGACCTGGTATTTATTGACCCTGAAATCAAGTTCTGTCACTAAATATGATTTATGAGTTTCATGATGTGATTGCTTGATATCGAAATTTCTTCACAACTTATAATATTTGATCACATAACTAATTTATTATCAGGGAAATAACACTACATTAATTTTTGTTATGACACATGATTGTTATATGATCTTGAAGAATGTGATTGGCAGATTTCAATTGTTTCCTTTGTGACATCACAGCTTCATGTTGTCATTTCACTGTGACCTAAGAAGGAATGTGAGAATATCAGCGATGTAGATTTTGTATTGGTCTTATACAATGTTGCTTTATGATTGTTTGCAAAAATATCTTAATTATGCAATAATCATAATCATAACTTCGTTGTTATCTCTTATGAGATTTGTAATAGTTTTCACTTAGCCTGCCAGAGGCTTTGTAAAATGAAAAATTCTCGTTTTGGGGAACCTGATGTTAATGGCAACATATGTGAAATCCTCTGTTTACAATATCTAGATTAGAAAAGCAACTCTCCTGGGATTATTTCCTACAGCAGAGGACTCGGTGCCTGATTCACACATCCTACAACAAAATATATATAATTGCTGAACATTTAGAGATATGAATACAATCATGTAATCAGCCAATATGATGGCCCTAGACTCTAAAATCTTCGGTTATTATATCAAAATTGTGGCAGTTACTATATCAAAATTGTGGCAGTTATTATATCAAAATTGTGGCAGTTATTATATAAAAATTGTGAAGTTGGAATCCCTATATATAGCCATACGATTGCTGTATATGAATTCTCAGTATTTGGTTTGTGGTTTAGGATGAGGCTTCATCAAAGTTGAAGAGAAAGTCATCATCAAATGGGAAAAGTTCAACTGCCGCTAAACCTGCTAAAAAATCTGAGGTGAAGGCTGGGGAACACAATGGAGAAAGCAATTCACAGACTAAAAAACTACAACAGAAAAAAGGCACAAAGACAACAAAAGGAAAAACTTCCAAATATTTCAATAGTTCAGATGGTGAAATGAAAGTTGTGAAATTGAAAGGTAAAGCAAATGCAAGGAAAACAGATCTCAAGGAACAGGGTTGTGATTTAAAAGATGTATCGGAAAAATATAAAATGAAAAGTAGAAGTTTGAGGTCACGAGGTTCAAAGGTCAAACCATCAAGTTACAAGCAGGGTAGTGATGAGGAGGAAGAGGAGACTGACTCTGATGAAAGTTTCATACCAGTTAGTGACACTGAGAATGATGATTCAGTAAAGCCGAAGATCAAAAGGAAAACCAAACAAGTACAGAAAGGCAGGAAATGTAAAGAAGTTAGGTCAGCTGAATCAAATAGCAGTGACAATGAAAGGTATGTTATCAGTATGATATATGGATGTTTTTGCTTCTTTTATCACCCTGTGAACAGCCAGGATCATTTTGTGGCTGGTCACATACCATCAAGAGCAGTTACAGTTAGGTGTCTTACTTTAGGACAACCACATTATCACAGACCAACCCATTTTCTGCTCCCTGAAAAACAAGAACCGTTAAAGGTTGGGAGCATCAAATCACCCACCTTGATTCTTCAGACAAGGCCATGTAAGCAAATGCCCTATTGACTGAGCTCTTATGGCCTCCATCTAGTATAGACATCATCAGCCTTAAACATTTATGTTGTCTATTGATATATAAAATTATCTATTATTGAGTTCATTTTTGAACATCTTCAGGTATGTTTTCAATCTAAGGAAAACTTAAAAATGAAATAGAAGATGCAATTATTTCAATATTGTGACAGGTATTTGAACAACATCCATGCAAATTTAAACATTCCATGGCAATATTTTGTTATGTGTGTTTGACTGTTTTCACACATGTTGTTTCTATACATGTTACTATACATGTAAACAAATTGGGCTGTGAACTCAATTTCAGTCTATTATATTTTGACTCCACTCATCCTGTTAGACTTTTATGGGAATTTGTTTCATCCATATTAGACTTACAGTTGTATTCAGGTGTATTTATGTTAGAAAATTATAAAATTCCTTTCATCCTTGTGAAAAATGAAAAAAGGGACACACTGAGGAACATTTCAAGAAAATATACATCAGCTGATAGCAAAAAGTACATAAAAGTTTTCTGGTATGTTATAAATGTTATCGGTGTGTTTTTGTTATTTACAAATAGCAGTAAATAATAACATTTTTCTGTTATGAATAGTGACTTTGAACCGGATCAGACACAATTCCGTAGTCCTCTGACGACAAAGAAACCTTTGAAAAACAACAGAAAAGTTTTGTCTTCCGACTCTGATGAGACCAATAGTGGTAACACAGCTAGATCAGGTAAGGTCTCTGTTACTGTTAGATTTATGACATAAACATTTATGTGTTACTTATAATGTTAAAGTGTTAGTTTTACAAAATGTGACTTCTGATCGGTTACTTTGTGTTTTCGTTACAGGTTGTGACCAATGGATGGGGGATTAAACATGACTTTTGATGGGTTACTTTGTGTTTTTGTTACAGGTTGTGACCAGTGGGTGGAAGTTTACTTGAAGACAGAGAAGAAGTGGATATGTATGTATTGACATGATATTACATGTACTTTATAGAGATAAAAAGTTTTCTACCTTTAACATGTTCAATAAATATGCATACCTGCATCTATGTTAACCCTTTCGGCACTGTAGGCGACTTAAGTTGACATGCAGACAGGCCGCAGTAGGCGACTTTAGTCGACAATTTTTGTCATTGTTTTTGGATATTTTCTGGAAAATATTTGGCGCTGAGCTGTGCATTGTGAGAGATATTTGGCACTTAGCTGTACATTGTGAGAGATATTTGGCGCTGAAAGAGTTAATATTGACAAAGAGAATTAAAGTCTGAAATATGCACTCAATCTTAAGGTCAAATACTGCTAGTTAGAATATGTACAGTTGTTGGACTCTATTAATTACTTGAGAGGGATTATTGATATCTATCAGTCTGTCTATCCATCAGTCTCACCTGCGGTTTTCAGGGTTATTGTTATCACTCTTGTAGATAGAGTTATTGCCCTTTGCTTTAATGGAGACACAGAGTCTGTTTCAGTCTTAGTCTACACTGATGGAGAGCAGAATCGGTTTCTGTCTTTGCAGTCTTTCAGGGCTTTTTTTCTTGATCTTTTAATATATTCAGATTGTGATTTCACTGAAATCCTATTGGATATATGGTGCTCTCAGTTGACTTCTACCTATGCTATTTCTAGGTGTGAATTTCATCAAATGGGAACTCAATGCACCATACGCTATAGAAAGTCATGCAACTCAACCAGTTCATTATGTTCTAGCACATGATAATAGTAAGTATAACCATATATCAAAAGATAAGTGAATACTAAACATCTATCATGTCTCAGGTTAATTTATATCTCCAGACTCGGACTACACTATCCAGGCTGTGACATATCAGTAATGTGTAGCTAATTACCAGCCTATCATCTGTGAATACATTCTCTATTATTATGTAATGTTTTATTTACTGTAACTGGGATATGAATCTTCCAAATTAACAAAGACCACTTTTCATACTGAAAACATTCAGAAGAATGTTTAGACCAAATAGGAAGTTTCTATCATTTCCCCTCTTTTGTCAGCAAATTTTCAAAACATTTTTTCAAGACAAAATGTATTTTTCTCCGACATTCAAAATGGTCAGACAAAGTTTGGAACTCAAGGTTAACCTGCCAAGATTTCTAGTGTGTGATTTAATAGTTGAATATATTGAAACAATGATATATAGTACACTCCCTACCAATCCTATACCCACATTGCACTACTGTTGTACTCCCTACCAATCCTATACCTACATTGTACTACTCTTGTATTCTCTACCAATCCTATACCTACATTGTACTACTGTTGTACTCTCTACCAATCCTATACCTACATTGTACTACTGTTGTACTCCCTACCAATCCTATACCTACATTGTACTACTGTTGTACTCTCTACCAATCCTATACCTACATTGTACTACTGTTGTACTCTCTACCAATCCTATACCTACATTGTACTACTGTTGTACTCTCTACCAATCCTATACCCACATTGTACTACTGTTGTACTCTATACCAATCCTATACCTACATTGTACTACTGTTGTACTCTCTACCAATCCTATACCCACATTGTACTACTGTTGTACTCTATACCAATCCTATACCTACATTGTACTACTGTTGTACTCTCTACCAATCCTATACCCACATTGTACTACTGTTGTACTCTATACCAATCCTATACCTACATTGTACTACTGTTGTACTCTCTACCAATCCTATACCCATATTGTACTACTGTTGTACTCTCTACCAATCCTATACCTACATTGTACTACTGTTGTACTCTCTACCAATCCTATACCCATATTGTACTACTGTTGTACTCTCTACCAATCCTATACCTACATTGTACTACTGTTGTACTCTCTACCAATCCTATACCCATATTGTACTACTGTTGTATTCTCTACCAATCCTATACCTACATTGTACTACTGTTGTACTCTCTACCAATCCTATACCTACATTGTACTACTGTTGTACTCTATACCAATCCTATACCCACATTGTACTACTGTTGTACTCTATACCAATCCTATACCTACATTGTACTACTGTTGTACTCTATACCAATCCTATACCTACATTGTACTACTGTTGTACTCTCTACCAATCCTATACCTACATTGTACTACTGTTGTACTCTCTACCAATCCTATACCTACATTGTACTACTGTTGTACTCTCTACCAATCCTATACCTACATTGTACTACTGTTGTACTCTATACCAATCCTATACCTACATTGTACTACTGTTGTACTCTCTACCAATCCTATACCTACATTGTACTACTGTTGTACTCTCTACCAATCCTATACCTACATTGTACTACTGTTGTACTCTCTACCAATCCTATACCTACATTGTACTACTGTTGTCAGAGGGTCATATAAAGGACGTGACAGCAAGGTATGCAGCCAATTGGCTGACCGACACCCGTAAACTAAGGGCAGACCCCGATTGGATAGAGGAGATGTATGCCCCATTCTTAGACCCTGATACAGAAGCTGGAGAGAAGGAGGACACAGCCATTAAAGGTGAGCAGTAGTTGGCAGCTCTGTCTTCGGGCGAAAAGAGAGTTCAAAGAAATAACGAAAAATTAGATTGCTATTTCTTAGACAATATCACACATATTGTCTAACTCTTAACTTTCTGCAGTTAAGGTAAGAACACCTGACAAACTAGCATATTCGAATGGGCTGCGATGTTTCAATCAATAGAGACTTGGCCTTCACATTCCCAGGTGAAGATATGAGATGTAGTATCACACCAACTATGGTTTGTTTCTCTGAATTCTTGGGATCAGTTTATGCTTTTGTGTTTATGTTCTTGAGCAAGTCACATTACCACAGGCTTCCCGGTAATTGATCATAGAGGTTACCTCCCCTGAATAATCTAATGACTTTAAATATGCATGGGGTAATAAGTCCAGCCAGCAAACTCTACCTTTATTGTCTGATACTTTCCTAGTGATTCAACAAATATGATTTTATCACTACCAGTCACTAATGTATGAAGAAAAACAGTTTTGAATAGTGTTTTGGATAGATGCATTATGGTATTTAGCAGAGGTCCTTCCAATGTGGTGAACGCGTTTTAAATTTGCTTTCTGAAATATACATTGAATTCTGATTTTGGAAGTTTCAGTTTTTGAAATTGCTTATTAATTATTATTTTGCTTTCTAGATACTTTGATCAGACGTCCGATGCCGACAAGTGTTGGGGCTTTTAAGGGACATCCTTTGTAAGTATTGGCTGTCATTGATATCTCTTACTGGATAGACAAACAAGGTTAAATTTTACACTGACAAGTACAGTTTTAAATTGTTAATGGTGATGCAAGGTCATGTGATTGAAGTCGTCCTATACAAAGTTAGACACATGAGAGGTTCTGTATATATCTGTTGGAGCTGTATTGTGATAAGGTCTCGTCCAAGCATCACTTAAATTATAAAGTTACCCAGCATTAGACAAGACCATCTCCATAAACTTAATACCTGTCTCAGTCACTGCTGCCAGAAATTCATCATGTAGTCAAGGTTTCCAGTAATCCTGTACATTATTTATACAAATGTACCAAGATATTGGTGGAATATTCTGATGTGATATTGAACAAAGTCACTGAACCATGAAAAGTAGGTCAAGTCACTGTCAGATATATATTTTTTTCTGAAGAATAATCCTGGCCACATCATTGATGCAAATTCAATCTGTTAAAACTTCATAGCTACATGGTGAAAGTTAATACAAAACTTATTCAAGAACCTTTAAGGTTATACCTATAGCAAAACAGAGTCTGTTTCTGTCTCAATCTACACTGATGGAGACACAGAGCCTGTTCTGTCTTAATCAGTACTAATGGAGACACAGAGCCTGTTTCTGTCTTAGTCAATACTGATGGAGACACAGAGTCTGTTTCTGTCTTAGTCAATACTAATGGAGACACAGAGCCTGTTTCTGTCTTAGTCAATACTGATGGAGACACAGAGATTGGTTCTGTCTTAGTCAATACTGATGGAGACACAGAGCCTGTTTCTGTCTTAGTCAATACTGATGGAGACACAGAGACTGTTTCTGTCTTAGTCAATACTGATGGAGACACAGAGTCTGTTTCTGTCTTAGTCTAAACTGATGGAGACACAGAGCCTGTTTCTGTCTTAGTCTGTACTGATGGAGACACAGAGCCTGTTTCTGTCTTAAGTCAATACTGACAGACACAGAGCCTGTTTCTGTTTTAGTGATGGAGACACAGAGCCTGTTTCTGTCTTAGTCAATACTGATGGAGACACAGAGCCTGTTTCTGTCTTAGTCAATACTGATGGAGACACAGAGCCTGTTTCTGTCTTAGTCAATACTGATGGAGACACAGAGCCTGTTTCTGTCTTAGTCAATACTGATGGAGACACAGAGCCTGTTTCTGTCTTAGTCAATACTGATGGAGACACAGAGCCTGTTTCTGTCTTAGTCAATACTGATGGAGAGACACAGAGTCTGTTTCTGTCTTAGTCTATACTGATGGAGACACAGAGCCTGTTTCTGTCTTAGTCAATACTGATGGAGACACAGAGACTGTTTCTGTCTTAGTCAATACTGATGGAGACACAGAGCCTGTTTCTGTCTTAGTCAATACTGATGGAGACACGGAGCCTGTTTCTGTCTTAATCAATACTGATGGAGACACAGAGACTGTTTCTGTCTTAGTCAATACTGATGGAGACACAGAGACTGTTTCTGTCTTAGAATACTGATGGAGACACAGAGCCTGTTTCTGTCTTAGTCTAATACTGATGGAGACACAGAGCCCTGTCTTAGTCTACTGCACAGAGCCTGTTTCTGTCTTAGTCTACTGGTGGAGACACAGAGCCTGTTTCTGTCTTAGTCTATACTGATGGAGACACAGAGCCTGTTTCTGTCTCAGTCTACACTGATGGAGACACAGAGCCTGTTCCTGTCTTAGTCAATACTGATGGAGACACAGAGCCTGTTTCTGTCTTAGTCTATACTGATGGACAATCTTCTGAACCCCATAGCTGCTTAAATGGGGAAAAGATAATCAGGGTTTTCTTCTCCAGATCTTGTAGTACAATCTTCTGTAGTTTTGTGAGAACCATATCAAGAACCTCAGCTAAGTTTACATTTGGTTGCTATTCTGTATATTTAATATCTTGCTTGACGTATATCTTAAAAACAGGACTGAACTTGTAAAGCATTTGAGAAATCTTCTGACGCTCTATATATATCAGCCAATAAGCCCTCGCTAGGTAATAAGTCAGTTTATTTAAAACACAGATTGTAAAAATGCAAACAAACGTGATGTCATTATCCTGCAGTAAGGCCAGCTCCTCTTTAAGACCAAATTGATGTCTGGATTCTCAAAGTTTATCACAAGATAAAGGTAATGTAAACAGACTATTGTTGTTCTATACAAACTTTGAATCTCCTTTCTTATACACTAAAGGTATGCCCTGAAACGTCACCTGCTTAAGTTTGAAGCTATCTACCCAAATTCTGCTGTACCACTTGGGTTTATTCGGGGAGAGCCTGTATATGCACGGGACTGTGTTCATGTTGTGAGTAGAATTTTTAAAACATAACTTTTTTCTCTCTTTTTTTTTTGGGAGATGTGCAACCATATTTACACGATATTGGATTTGGTTATTAGCCTGTTCACATTTTTATTTGCATTACTTCCTCTACATACATTAAGAAATAACATGTTTCATTTATGGTTTAGAAAATTAAAGATAAATAAAAAAATCAAAGAAAATAGAGAAAAAAAAAAAGAAAAAAACAGAGCTATGAGGTCTAGTGTCATCATTATTGAATGGAATTTTTTCTGGTGTCAAAAAATATCCAAAAGAATGGACTATTAAGTTTATTCCCATAATTTACTACTGAAAACAGAAAAAATAATAAAACAAAAATATTTTTAACATTATATTGCTTTTTAGTTACACTCCAGAGAAAATTGGCTCAAAGAAGGACGAGCCGTCAGGGTGAGTACTTGATCATGAGACCGTGTGGTGTATTTCATACTTCTGAGTACACTTTGTCTGTAAAAGGATGAAATATTCTAAAAAAAAATAATTCTGATGTTGAGGTTTTGAACCCTGGAATTTGTTTATCTCGAATAATAAAGTAACAAACATGCATATTTGAAAATCTCTCTCTGGAAGTAAAACCAATGTATTTAAAACTTACATGCCATTTTGATCCATGTTATCAGTCATTCAAAATCCCATACATGACACTGATTCATGAGAGTCAATGAGATTTATTTTTAGTTAAAAAAATTCAGTTTATGGTTTATGGTTAGGCAAGGACTACTACAGTAAACATCCACTTAACCCCGGGACTCAAAAAATAAATTACTTGTACCTATGGTTTGATTTTCTGCTTAATACTTGTAAGTAAACTGCTGATTAAATTCTATAGAACATACTGGGTACTACATAACAGGTACTGGAGTCCTTTGATTTATTCATTCTAATCATTAATGGTTTCTAAAGATGTTATTTTCTGTTAACAGCTGGGCGAGGAGTCCTACAAAATGGTAAAGTCCAGACCCAAATGGGTAAGTGATATCTTCTTTTGTATCTCTTCCATTGGCCTTTAACAAGGTATGGGCTTATTACCTGATAAAGTTATAGGTACACCAAAACCTTCCATGTTACTCTACAAAGTAAATTTGTACACAGACTTTTTCATTTTATTATCAAGAATCGGCCAAAGGAAAATCCAGATGCACTTGACCTTGAACTATTTGGAGAATGGCAAACAGAAGATTACATTCCACCACCTGCTGTTGATGTGAGTTATCTCCCTTTGACATGCAAAGAAATGTTTTAAAAGTGTAAAAAAAAAAGTGTTAAATGTCTTTATTTACTTACTTTGAATGATATTAAACAAAAATGGGCAAAAGTAAAGAAAAGAGAATGTATTTAAGAATGACTGCATATAGAAAATAAGCAAATTTCAAAGACGGCTTCTGAAAAGATTGTTAATGATTTCAGTTACGTTGTTCAATACTATTGTAGGGTAAGGTTCCACGGAATGAATATGGTAATGTGGAACTCTTCAAGCCCAGCATGTTACCAGCAGGAACAGTGTATTTGAAAGGCAAGTCTATACATATAGTGTCCAAACACAGTAATAAAATCAGGGACTTAAGATTACTGCCATTCTCACATAACTGTACTTATTGCTTAAGGTCAGTAATAATTTGTAACAAATACTGAAAGTTTCAAAGTGATCTTATTTGATGTTTGGAAAGGTGACATTGTGCACATGACTGTTCAGTTTCATAACAAGACATTTCTCTAGGTCCACATAAAGTCAGCAGTGAACAGCCTCATACAGTTAATCATGACCATATTGTAAAATTACACATGTGGCTTTTTGGGAAAAAACATCAACTGTGAAATGGTCAGTATAAAAACACTGGAAATCACGGACAATCATTTAAAGACATTTCAATAACACTTGAAAGTTTCAGAAAAAAAACTACTGTAAACACTTTAAAAACATCTAAATGCAAAATGCTTATTTGGGTATAAGGAGGGTACATGCATATGGCAGGGGAAGATGAGGAAGTTACAAACACTCTTCAAGACTCACATTTGTCAACTTGATAATATTCCTCCTCAGGTTGTTACACTCTATGTAGCCCAAAGGGATTGGAAGATGTTATTTATCTTGTATATGTATATGTCTTTATATTTCAGTACCTGGATTAAACAAAGTTGCGAAAAAACTTGGTGTGGACTGTGTGCCAGCCATGTTGGGATGGGACACTCACTGCGGCTTCTCCCACCCAGTGTAAGTAAGGAGCTGAGAGTATCCAGAAAGACCTTGTGATCACAACAATATATTGACTGTGGTTGTGTATAAGAGGCTGCAATACAGAGTGTAGTCTAATCTAGATCGTTACACACAAGTTCACCTGTAGTGCACAAGGAAAAAGACTTCTAGTTCACAAGAACAGACTACAAGTAACTAGAATTGCACTAGGGCCTAAACTGGTTATATGAAAAAAATCCTTGATAAGTAATAGGTAGAGCCCATCTTACATCAGAACCTGGGCCTTGTGTTTATGTAATTAACCTGCGGTGTTACACGCAGCCTCATGGTGTTTCAGCCCACTGACTATATATACAAACCAAGTCTACTTGTGGTTTTATCTGTTAGGCTGCAGGAATACCTTATATTACAGTACTATCTGTTTGGTACCATATCATTGAATGAATAATGTATTATGATAAAAATGGAACATAAAACTTTAAAATCTTAAATATCAAATTCAAAGGAGGGGTAATTGCTGTTTATAGCCGAGTGTATGACTTTTCGATACTTTTACTAATAAAAATATTATGTTATAAAAAAAATGAGACTAACATATATGTCAAATGCTGTCCAGTGATATATCAACATTAACAGTTCATGTTTTCTTGAGAATGACAAAACAGACAAATGGTTTAATGTAAGATTGGTATATGATTTATTTATAAGATATTGTTTTTAGATTTATACTAAGTAACTGTTAAACTGGGTATTTTTACATTTCTCACAGTCTCCACACAATTTAATATTCAAATATTAAATGTTATTGCTTTATTTCATGGGAGGATCCAGAAGTCAGGTGTTGCAAATAGGTCTGTTCTGATTTAACATTTAACTCCCCTTCTCCTATTGTGTTATAGACTTGAGGGGTTTGTGGTGTGCGAGGAATATAAAGATATCCTACTGGCAGCTTGGGATGAGGATCAGGAAATTCAGCGCCAGAAGGAGGCTGAGGTCAGTAGACTTTTTTCATGACCCACAAAATCAACAAATCAGGCTGTTTTGGTGATTAGAGAAATCTCATTTCTTAGTCTTAATCTTAAATTATTGTAATACGAAGAAAAAGAGATCCAACGTCCAAGAGGTAAGGCTGGTAAGTCTGGTATCACTCCACAGCGGATTCCCTGAGGGAATACCGAGTCCGGTACCAAAGGATAGGTTAAAAAATCCGTAAGCAGGACCAGACAACGCCAATGAAGATCTTCTGTAACTTTATTAGTTGACTAGTTTCGGCACACTAGGTATGCCGTCCTCAGAACAGTGCAAATTCAAAAAGCAGGACTTTATATACTCCTGTGCCTAGCAACTACACATGTTATTTCCACCAATGTCAAAGAGAGTAAACTAGTTACAATGACGTAATTAGTTGGTGACGTCATAATGCAAGTAAACAGATAGTAGCGGAGTTTAAATTATTGTAGTTTACATTGCTCAGTCAGTGATGATAGAGCTCATGAAAATTGTTGTTGGTCAGGATATGAAGGTGTGAACGAGATAATGGAATACCATAAAATAATTTTTTAAATCTAATGTATCATATGTTGTCATTTCCAACCTAAATCCACCTCCAATGCATTTCCTGACACCGTAATCATCTTTTGATTCAAGGTTTACAGAAGTTGAATACACTGAGGTTGGATAATATTCTTAACCATGGAGTAGTTTTATGTTCAAAGGAATAGATCTCTTTTTAAGAGGGGAAGTTACTCTAAACGTTTCTTGTTACATTATTTGGAATACTTGATACAATTTCAGAAAAAGGAGAAGCGGGTGATAGCCAACTGGAAACTGCTGACCAAAGGCCTCCTGATTAAGGACAAACTGAAAGCAAGATTTGACCTTCAAACAAAAGTAATTATATTGACTTATCATACTTATAGAAATCTGTTATTGTAATTGAATGAATTTAATTTAATTACTTACATATCTAAAACATTGAAGTATAATTAGACTGACATCATAAACTTAGTAATGTTCATTATCAACACTCATGAGAAATGAATCATATCCATGATAAGTTGTCCATTTACAAGGACATCAAGATTTATTTCAAAAAAATATATAAAGAATGAATATTGAATGACAAAATTAATAACAAAAGAAAATATAATAACAGTAAGTTATCCTAGTAGGAGGCTCAGAAACATACTTAGTTTTACTGCAAATAAGCAGTCTCACCTCATGGAAAAAGATTCTCCATAAGTAGAGAGGAGGCTTCATTGCAAACATTCCCCCTTTCCATATTTGTTAACCATCTTGGTTAGTTATTGTACCTTAACACACAGTACATGACTATTTGTAGACAAATTCATTTGTGTTGATTTTGTATACATGTTGGGTTTTTTCTAGTCGTTTATGAGATAATTATAAGAGGAAAAAAAGGAATAATATTCTTGTTTATACTATTACATGTGGATGATTACAATATAGTAAGATTATTTCTAGGTTTGGTTAGTGATACTGCAACTGGAACAAAATAGATACATGTTTTATCACAGTTCATGCTGTACAGCTTGTGAATGAGGCATGTTCAAACATGACAAATGTCATGGAATTAAGAAAATTTTGGATGAAGTAAACTGTTGGAGTGTCAAAATTTTATCATTAACATGGTATAAAATGTAAGTTCTCATTTCTTTGCTAGGAAAGTTCAGAGATCCAATTGGAAAAATGTGATGATCCTACCGCTGTCAAAGCTGGAGACTTTGAAAAATCCTGGCCACAGAATAGGGAAAGCAAGAAAAAGAGAAAGAAAAAGTATGGCGAAGCAGAAGTGATCTGATGTCAAAATATTGTCTCACTGGAGTGATCTGATGTCAAAATATTGTTGGATTGGAGTGATCTGATGTCAAAATATTGTCTCACTGGAGTGATCTGATGTCAAAATATTGTTGGATTGGAATGATCTGATGTCAAAATATTGTTGGATTGGAGTGATCTGATATCAAATTAATGGCACACTTGAGAGATCTGACATCAAATTCATGGCACGCTGGAGTGATCTGATGTCAAAATATTGTCACACTGGAGTGATCTGACAGAGAATGTCCTATTGAAGTGTTCTGATGTCTAAACAATATAACATTGGAGTTATCTGATATCTAAATGTTGCAATTGAGTGATCTGATATCACACCATGGCATTGCAGTGATCTGACATCAAATAAAAATTGAGTTATTTAACATCAAACTGTAATACTGGAGTGGTCTGACATCACACCAGGACATTGCAGTGATCTGACATTAAATAAGAATTGAGTGATCTAACATGGGAGTGGTCTGGCATCACTATCATGTCACTTCTGACATTTTGTGAAATGTGCACCATATTGTTGTTTGTTGCATGTGAGATGTTTACTTTTGGTGCTAAGTTGTTGTAATGTGCAAAATTGTCTTTTTAGAAGTTTGGTTTTATTGAAGATGCATAATGACTTGAAATATGAGAAGAATGCTTTTTTCTTTTTATTTTTCAAAAGTTTTGCAAAGCCAAAACCAGCATTTCAATATTTTGTGATGTTCCATATTGTAAATAGGAGTTCAGTTCTCTTTATAGGCAGGAATTTCAAGAGCAAACACTATACCTTTAATCCCCACCTTAGGTTAGGGGGCCTATCACTTTGTTAGTATTTGGTGAGCAAGAGTGTCCATCAATGCATCTGTGGTCATCAGTGTACAACATATCTCATGAATACCTGAATTTAGTTTGCTGTGCCCAGCATCTATTTCTCAAGGAGTGGATAGCCCAAAGTAATGATATTTAGCAAGCAGCTTGCTGGGATGAAAGCCTTTAAATTTCATCACAAGGGTCAATCCTGTTAAAATATTTCAATATCAGTCAATAGAATGAGGGGCAAAAGATTTTAAACTTCACTGAAATTGAATAAGGCAATGGGGGATATTATTAAATGTTATCGAGGACTTAAGAAACTAGCAAGATCAAAGACCGAGGGAGTGGGGAGGGTAAGACAAGTTTGTAAAACAGGACCGTGTGATGCTAGATGTCGTAAAACGGAAACCATCAAGCAATGATAGAATATCATTTAGAACAGTAATAAATTTCATAACAAAAGTCAGCACAGAGGTCAAGAAATTCACTGGCAACTGGCTAAGATATGAAGTGATAATTGCCATAGGAAGTAAGCGTGGCCACAGCTCACTAGGAAATGGCAGTCATGTTGACACGTGAATTCTAATACCAACGCAAGGAAATGAGTCGCAGAATTAATGTTAATGTGATAGATCTGGGTTGTAAAATTGTTGATGTATCGGTAAGTGTTTGCACGATAATCCACAAACATGTTGGGGTGTCGAAGTATGGGCAACTAAAGTTTGGAGCCTTTTGTCACCTGTAACGACCTGGAGAGCTCAGCCGCATGTTGAGTAACTGGAAGGAACTTGAGGGACTCCGACACTCTCACTTCGGCTTACTAACTAGTAGTTACAGCAAAATCATATAAAAGTGAAAGCTTTATACTTTTCACATTGTCCCTGTGCAAAGCTAAAACTGCAAAAGTTCGTGATATGGTGCGGACTAAACAAAACACTTACAAAGTCACCACACTGGATGGTCTGCCACTACAATATCAATATACCTGGTCTAAGAGCGTTTTAATATTCCTTCGTAGGTAAACACATTGTAACGATAGTGATCAAATAATTGTTTTATTGAAATCAATCAGTAGTTTGTCTGAGTTGGAACATCCTCGTTACTCTAGGTGTACGCTCACTATTCTAAGTCTGTTTTGCACCCCTTGAACATGTCATGGCATTTTGAAGGTTCTAAGTGTAACTTGTTGCGGACAAGACATGGCCAGGTCGCATAACTACTGCATGTTGCATGTTGTAACGGCTTTTGAGTCGGGTGTCGTTTCTTTGTAATCTTCAAAGGACCGTATCAGCCTGTAATTGGACAGTTTTTACCCCGAGAATTCGTTCCAGACCAATCAAATAACTTCGCTTATGACTTCAATTTGCGATGACATGTCCCCGGGGTGTAGTGAGCGACGCCTGAGAATCGAGGCTGGGTTTGGAACAGGGTTTTTCGCTGTGAGATCACTGAAGCTGTAGGCGGTGAAAGGCATCTTCCAAAGCCACGCATTTCACTAAATTGTTCGGAAAAACACAACCCAACAAAAATATAAACACAAATCTGCTCTTTCAGTAATGTTAATTATTACTCCGCAGAATATTTGGACAATGTGCTGTTAGAATAGCCACTCGGTATAGCCATGACGGCTGTTCTGAGATCAAAACTCCATCCCTAATTACTCATTCCTCACAAATTCTAAAAGAAGTCTTCATTGTCACTAATAACCATATCTGTTATCTTGTCGTTTATGTGTAAAGACAAATTCATTTTTTTTCTTTTTATCTGAACCAATGCATTTCGTATCCATTTCTCATCCGGACAGCGAGTTAACCCCCTCATCCTTTGTGGTTCACCATGGCTGGGCTTCAACTGTATACGGTGGTGGAGCAGATTTGATCGAGTCATTTTGGACATATTCTGGGACATATGGAGGAAGTCCGGGTAGCTTCGGTGACACGCCCTCGTCTGGCGACTGGTGGTGGACTTGTTGGAAACCGCCTAGAAATATTTTATGTAAGAACGGTATTAGAGGAAAGGCTAAAAACTTCGTTATTAGTAAGCATATCGTTGGTATTAATTGATGGAGATTTAAAAGTACAAGATGGATGTGTGAAAATCAGGTTTGTCGTCAATGTGGTAGACAAAAAACAAACAAGCAAAAACAAAAAACAAAGATAGCACTGACACTAAACATCATTGTAACGTTGGAAATTAAAACATTTTCAAAACTTTCGCATGATTACAGAAATGCATTTTATGAGAACGCTAAATATAGAGTCTATAGTGTATGGTATGAATTACATAGATACATATGTGTTATAGTTAATTTTACTAGAAGATTGTAGAGTTACTGTTAAATGTAGGTGTATTCATTATATCGGTAATTTAATGGACCGTAACAGCAAATCACAGATTAATCGTTGGAACATTTCGGTTTCAACTCCTGGATAAACAGAAGATCAAAGTCAGACTCAGAAACACCGTTTGTTCTTATTTTCCAATCTCAAATACCTATGAAATGTTTAACCGTTCTTAACATTTTCTGAAAACAAAAAAGACATTGTTTCAGTACACATGTACCTATTGCTTGCGTGTCGATGACGGCCACGTCTATATGAAATGGGCGCGTGTCTACAGCTGCTGTAGAACTGAGTCTGGTGTCGTGTGGATAGGCACAAAAACCACATTGTCTACACACAAAGATGACCACAACCAGAAATATTCCGAACGCTATCAGGGAGCCCACTACAATCCAGGACAACTGGTCAGTCGAGCTGCAATAAATTTACTGGTCAATTTTCATATTCATACAGTTGTTACGATTGAATTCTATAAATCACTCTACCCACGTATAGAATATACGGTAGAATGTTTTCTTGTATTGATTCTGTCGGGTGTAATTCGAGGGCAATAAAGATAAATTTCTAGGATGATTTTCAAATTTTCAAATGAAACTTCTGTTCGTTACAATAATTATCACTAAAAAATGATCATAAAACTGATTGAAAGTATGTTCAGAATAACTCATGAAATGGAGCGATGATATTATGATTTATTGGATGGAGGAAAAACTAAAAATCATGACTTTCTAAAATGAATATGCAAGATTTCGATCCACAACACTCATAAGATAAAAACAAAGACTTACAGGCCGTAGTCGTACACGCTGTGGTATGTGTAGGCTCCAGCACAGCTTGGTGTGGCTTTCCCTTGGAAGAAAAAAACTTATAAAGGTTGATACACATGTGCATTACAATATAAAGATGTGCTAAATTCCCATTACACCCAATTAGTTTCCCGAGACACTCCTCATTTAGCGCTATATACTTATTTTAGAAGTGTTTTAAGGCAGTTTTCTGTGTATATTGCGCATTTCTCTTCCCATCAACACACAAGGTGCGAGTATTTTTTTTAATTTATTCATTTGGCGTAATATGACATCTTTGGGTATTTCCCATTTAGAATGTGAACACCGACAATGCCGATGTTGCAGATGTCGCCGGAAAATGGAACGTCAAACCTACGGCGTAACCGGCAACTCTGATAACAAAAAATAACGTCGTCAAACGTGGAACAACGGCTAAACTACCGGTCCGGCAGGTACGTTTTATTTACTAGCGACGTCAGTATTTTATATACTGTTAATATTATTGATAATTTATTGTCCGATTTTTTCATCGATATTAATATCATTGAATCGTTTTATTCAATATTTCACATCGTATAAGAGCTAGAGATGGATTGAATTCAATGACAAATTACTTTTAACAGGTTTTCACGAAGGAGCGTTTGTGCACCATGTGCGCGCCAAGGGAAAATATGGGCGATATCGCAATTGTTATCAACGACTAAAAAGTAATATTCCCGACTGAAAAATGAATATACCGCAGTGTATTATTATAAATACCGGTAAAAATGATCGAGTTTGTGGATATTCTCTATTTCCGTAAGGTACTGAACACGTCAAGTTACCTTTATACATATAAATGTCTTGAACTTAATCACTGTCGTGTACGTGGTCCGGAAGGGTAAATTCAAAATGGTGGCAAGTATGGATACTGTTAACATCCTGGCCCCAATCCTTTAAACCATTTAAGCTCTGCAGTAGATTTCTTGATCAAGTGTTACAAATATCCTATTAAGATGTGTATTTGAACAATATTTAACATTGGAGTACCTTTCGCATCTTATAAATAGCAGTAAATATCGAAATATTGGTTAAAATCTTAAAGTGCTTTTCAATGGAGGGAAATCTTTAACTTCAAAATATTGACAGAATGTTCATTTGCCCTCCATATGACTTATGGTTTAATTTTGACACAAAGATAAAAACATGATTGTCTATGGCGATGTCTGACTAAAGGACAACAAACACTTTAAGTGAATGTCTCTGGCGATGTCTGACTAAAGGACAACAAACACTTTAAGTGAATGTCTCTGGCGATGTCTGACTAAAGGACAACAAACACTGTAAGTGAATGTCTTTGGCGATGTCTGACTAAAGGACAACATACACTGTACGTGAATGTCTCTGGCGATGTCAGACTAAAGGACAACATACAATGTAAGTGAATGTCTCTGGCGATGTCTGACTAAAGGACAACAAACACTTTAAGTGAATGTCTCTGGCGATTTCAGACTAAAGGACAACATACACTTTAAGTGAATGTCTCTGGCGATGTCTGACTAAAGGACAACAAACACTGTAAGTGAATGTCTCTGGCGATGTCTGACTAAAGGACAACATACACTGTACGTGAATGTCTCTGGCGATGTCTGACTAAAGGACAACAAACACTTTAAGTGAATGTCTCTGGCGATGTCAGACTAAAGGACAACAAACACTGTAAGTGAATGTCTCTGGCGATGTCTGACTAAAGGACAACATACACTGTACGTGAATGTCTCTGGCGATGTCTGACTAAAGGACAACAAACACTGTAAGTGAATGTCTCTGGCGATGTCTGACTAAAGGACAACATACACTGTACGTGAATGTCTCTGGCGATGTCTGACTAAAGGACAACAAACACTGTAAGTGAATGTCTCTGGCGATGTCTGACTAAAGGACAACATACACTGTACGTGAATGTCTCTGGCGATGTCTGACTAAAGGACAACAAACACTGTAAGTGAATGTCTCTGGCGATGTCTGACTAAAGGACAACAAACACTGTAAGTGAATGTCTCTGGCGATGTCTGACTAAAGGACAACATACACTGTACGTGAATGTCTCTGGCGATGTCTGACTAAAGGACAACATACACTGTACGTGAATGTCTCTGGCGATGTCTGACTAAAGGACAACATACACTTTAAGTGAATGTTTAACAATAAGAAATAAATAATTAAATAAGCAAAAGAAATGTTTGAGGCGTACAGAATGATGATGAACTTAATTCATACATTGTTACATTATAAAAAATACTTACAAAGCATTAGCAAGATGACTGATAGTATCCTCATTATTGAACCAGCATTGGAGGAAGTCATCTTTTCTCATGGTGCCATAGAAACTATGAAATTTGTACCATCTATAAATACATATTCCGTTCTCCTAAGATGACTTCAATGTAAACAACAAAGTATATATTCCGATCTCTTAAGATGACGTCATATATCTTCAATGTAAACATAAACAAAATATATATTCCCGATCCCAGTTGATATCGCCGTTCTGTAATTTCCACGATAGGTGATGATGTCACAGAACTACCCAATCACAGCCTACGTCATCGTATTTTCAAACGTCTTCCAGCTTTGTTGTTGTCACCACACTATATAGTCACCACAAAACGTACTTGTGCTATATTTTCCCATCTTTGATGAAGTCTCCACACTAAATATTGTAATTTCAGAACTTGTCTCCAGTGACGTCAGAGAACAAGGAATGATATGTAATTCTGATACCTGCATGTATTCCAGATTTCTTTGTAATTTGTGCTTACGTCAGAAATCTTTCTAGAGTCAATTTTCTTTCTCTGTTATAGAGCTAAATATATTCTGGCATGGAGTTTAGTACATGTGTACATGACAATGACACTCGCCTATCGCACGTGAGATATCAGCTTGAAGTCTTCTTGATAAATGCACCAAAGATCAAACAAAGGTCAACCTACCTCGATTGTGTTGGCTGATTAGTGTAAGCTCCGTATGTGATAAAAGATTAGTGATGGGTACAATGTGATAGGGGACGACCTTATATTCTGTCCCGTTTCTAAAAGGTGTAGGAATTAAGTTGAACATAAAATTAACATAAAATCGAGTCGTTATATTGAGATAACCGAAACATTCGTGATTACAATATATTCTCTCTGTTTCCAATACCGGGCCTTATTGATTCCTGTGATCGGTATTGAGAGCTGACGAAAACATCTATAACAAAAGGTTTTGACATATTGGGCACGGAGGACATGACATTTGTAATCCAATAAGCACCATCACAATGTCTTTAGAATGAAAAGACATTCTACAAATACTGAAGAGTAGGGTAATTGTACTAATCCCAAGAAAACGAACCAAAAGAAGAAAATGAGAAAAAGTAATATATTTATAGTATACTGAGTTATTAAAAACTTAAATTATTCTGGTGCAATGAAAATTTTACTGCTGAGTTTTCATAAACTTGACATGCAATGCAGCTGATATCGATGCAAGAACGAGTAAGCAATTCTGTTTGGTTGACCATGTCATGTACACGAGATAAAGACATTGGATTATATATATATTTATGTATTTGTAATCATGTTTGTTTATCTATAGGGGTCACCTGCCTGACAACCTTTATATATTTGTTTATATATCAGTTACTTTGTGAATCAGGTGACAGATGAAGAATATTTGTCATACGTTTCCTATTTTGTTGTCATAAAGACAATATTTCTACTGCATCACAAACAATATTCAATGGACAGGGTTTTCTCACAAGATAATGGCTGCCGTGATAATTGTTTCAGAACGTTTACTGAACTGTTAAATGCTAAATATTAATTTTATTTATTTTACAACCATTGTGAAACAAATGATCCAACTTATCATAATCACTATTGTTTGTCCAGATAAAGCGTTCAATGCTCTTATTGTTTGACGAAAAGCCACGTTGTCATGGAAGTGACCCCTAACCTGTTCACTTCCATATTTGGGAAATGGACCCCCGGCATCGAGGTCTCGTGAACTGTCACACTTGGTGATATTGATTATATATATAACATAGGTTTTTTTTCTTTTTGAGAACGTATCATTACTGAAAAAGGAACTCTAAGAAAAAATAATCTTTCCAATTTCAATTCTTTAGAATTTACAGTTTCATCAATTTTGATTTCATAATTTAACTTCCGTTTAAACGTCCTGAGCCTGTTTTTCTTTTAGTTTTTATTTCACCGAGTTCATTCATCACTGATCTCTGAAACCAAAATCCTTCCACACAATAATTGTGCGACCGGAGAATACTCTGAATAAGTCTATAGAGCCTTGCCGCTGTAAGATTGCATTCATTTTCTTCATTTAAATACAAGTAATTCAGAGAAAAAACGTTGTTCTGTTGATGTCTTTTGAAGAGTGCAAAAGTTTCCAACACATTTTTGTATATTAATACTGAAAGTATACAAACATATTTTATCAAACACAACACAATGCCCTGACTAACCCCATTATCCAATCCCCACTCCCCTCAATTAAAGGTCACCAACTCAAATTCTGATCAGAGTGTTTATGTTTTTATTGAAATTTAATGCCCATCAGTTTGTAATTTGTTGATTTGTATATAAGCAAGTACAAATACATCACATAAAATTACATTTTATCACAAATGTAGCGTAAAATTACAGATAATTACATTTGATAACAAATGTAACATTAAATTACATAAAATTACATTTGATAACAAATAAAACATAAAATTACAGATAATTACATTTGATAACAAATCTAACAATATTTTTGTGATAAAAAACCCAATTAGATTCATGTACATAATAACCGATTTGCCAGATACTGAAAACTTACTCATTTGAAGAAGAAAACAATAAATGTATTATATGTAATAATACATTAGGTGTCTCTACAGGGACATAATATACTTCACTATATGTTATGTCCTTGACCTCAGTAAATAACATACATAGGATGTGGTTGGAAAAAAATTCCAAACAATGGCAAGTACTTCATTCACTTCATATATTGGGCACTACTTTTTACTGACCACAAGTGCTGTACATAAATCATTCACAAAATAAAAACTTGGCAGTTCCTAAGTTATAAAGCCACTTAGTGTACAATGGTTACATCAATGCTGTTTCTAGTGTAATTAAAATTTGAGGACACTGGAAAAACATGATTATGCAATGGTTGTAGTGATTTACGGGTAATTCATAAAGTATTAAAATCCTTAATAATGAATAAATTAGTCAGTGCAACTTGAAACCTTTTACATATATATTATCAACATTGTTGTAAGATAAAGGTGACTAATTTCCATACATATCCAAAACCTTTGTAGATTATTTTGTTTGGAAATGAAATGAAATGAATGCTGTTATCATGAATATTTTCAATGTTCATAAATTTACAAAGTACAAGTTACAAAATATAACAACACTTTACAGATATGATGCATTAAAATATAATATGTAATTCTAAAATCCTCATTGTAAAGCACATCCCTGTTTAGATATGCCAGAATACTCTGAAGTATTTTTAACAGTTTTTAACAGCAACAAAACTGTAGGTTAAGACATGCTAAAACAACTCCACCTGAGTACAACCTCTACAGTTAACTATCAATAGAAATCTTTGATTGGAAATCTAGAATCAATTGGGAAAAATGTATCTAGATTAATTATATATATATATACACAAGGTGTGTACTGTTTCACAATAAATCCCTCCTTGCTATCTTTTCTTTGGTAGGAACACATCTCCTAGAAAAGTATATTCAACTGGCCATACTGGTTTATTTCAAAAATAAAAAAAATCTACAAAAAAATATATGAAAATATTTCAAAGTACATTCAACTTAGTTTTGATTAGATCACAGAGATAAGACCAGATTAAATTGTATATGTATGTATGTAAAACGACAAATGATATAAACACTGGTGTCTTTTAAAACGTAGAATACCATGTACAACATATATAAGATGTTACAAGATCTTTGATTGTGTATGAAATTTGATGAAACTAGTCTTACAAATTTTCATTTTTACAAGCCTTGACAAACACAAACTGAAACTCTCAGAGTTTCATGAATATCATTGAAAATTAAAAACAGACTTGAAATATTTTCTCCCACATAACGTAAAACAGTTACATTTTGACAGGTTTTAAAGTCAAAATGTGGAGGACACAATCAAACTGGGTTGCCATTTTGTTACATCATTTTCAATTTATGACGTTATTGTCCATACAATGACGTCAGAATCCATTTCTGACAGGCACAGGTCCAGCATGTCACAGTAGTGACATATGTCCAAAAATATAACACAGGTTAATTCTCTGAATAAATTGTGTGATAAATTAGTAACTGTAGGGTTTTAGAATTTGTTGTGACATGGATGAAACATTTTGTTCAGCATTATAACTTGGACTGGGCTCCTTCCATAATCAACTTTTTCAAATACATGTCATAGGCAGGTTCAACCTGTAACACAACAGAAATAAAACTTCTATTTAGTTTGAAGTAGAACATTACATATTTCAATTAAAATCATATCTATATCTCCTTTGTCATTGTTTGAAATCAACCTCTCTATGTCGTGTAAAATTGGGTTCCTACTAATGTGACACGACTAATTCTACATAATACATCCAAAGATCATTATAATTACTAAACCTATTTCATTTATTACTGATTACAAAAATTAATCATTCCATTTTAGACAATTGATAGACCTTAACCAAGGGATGTTTGTTCAAGTAAATGACCATACTGACTAGATGGTATAATGAGTGTCAGGGAGATGTTACCCATCACTTCAATCATAAGTTTCTTTAAAGTAGGATATTTTGACATGTACATATAGACAATGATTGGGAACTTCTCTGAAACCATCAGCAGCGTTATGTTCTGCCCATTTAAAATCTTACCTCCGTTTGATTCATTGGCTCCTTCAGGGCAGCCTCATAAAGTCGTTCATAGGCACGGCCATCATAGCAACCAATAGCAGACGAAAGGGTTTCATCATGGAAGTCCAGGGCATCCACTAAGGTCACTGCATCAGGTCTACAGAAGGGAGATAATTCTGCTTATTGATCAAGTGGGAAGGGAGATAATTCTGTATATAATCACCATTCCTATACATTAAACTTGCATATAGTATATAAAGGGGAGATAATTCTGTTTATAATTATCATTTCTATAAACAAAAAGTGTTAAGATGATAGATGATATTGTGAAATGACAAAAAATGCAATCAATGGTAAACTGAACTACCTTATTTTCAGAAATCAGGTGGACTTACCGTATCTCTGCAAGAAGTTGTAGCTCTAGTTCCTGTAACCAATGTAGCTGTTCCAAACCCATTGCTTCAGACTGAAAATATATAGGCATGGTCATGTATGTACATTTATATTGAAAGATATTTCATTAAACAAAATCAAAACTAGAGACTATGTTAACTAAAACTGACTATTCACCATTCAAAGACACTAAGTCAGTATGTATACCTGTTTATAGACACAGAACGATATTAATTTGACCTTACCTCCAGGAAGTCTCCTGACAGAGTAACAATATAGTGAACCCCAAACAGACAGCACAACTTGTCCAGGACCTTCCTGGCTGGAGGACTGACCTGTACACTGGCTAGTCCATCAACAAAGTTTCTCATGGCTACATAATAACAATGGGCCTGTAATTGAAATTTGATAGATTTTACAAACAACAATCAAGTAATTTTTCAACAAAATGACTTTTTTTTGCTGTTTTCATATGAGGTAAAAAAATATGTAAAAATTTGAAATTTTCATGGGGATTAAAACATCTGTTTTTTTTATTAATTTCATGGATACTCTGAACCCATAAATTAATGTATCAATAAATTTTACAGGTGTTTAAAATGTAACATGAATTCAGTGCAAGTGAATTTTGGGAGCATATGAAAAAAAAGAGTTCGTGAAAAATCATGAATGTTCAGCCATGCCAAAAAAATAATGATATGATTTCATAGTGTTATGTTATAATCAGCTGGATTTATTCTATCTATTATATAATCATATATTTAGGTATAAAAACAGACACATCATATTTTGCTACACATTAAATGATAAAATTCTACCGTGGCCATTCTGACGAGAGGCTGGAGGTTATTGTTCATATAAACTGCCTCTTCCTTCCCAGATTCCATGTCTCGCTGCAATGCTTGAGCAACTTTTAAAACCGTTCTGCAATTTTTTTTTCAAAAGAAACAATCATGTTATCTAGTGTTTAAAGGTATTGTGTAAGATTACTTCCAGACTCATTTCTTGAAATCTTTTTTAGATCAAAATTCTAAATATTTGGCTACACTGCTGACAACCCTTTAAATCACACTGTTTTAAATATCCTCCTATACTGAAAAACTTAAAAAGGGGCAATAACTCCAAAAATTGTTGAACAAAACTTCTGTTCAGGAAAACACAATTTTGTGTCATACTTATAAAGACTTTCAAGTTTTAAAGAGAAATGTTTTTAACTGAGAAAGAGAAATCTGGAAAAGATTAATGCTATGAAAATACAAGGTGCTGTAACTCTTCTGAAAAGAGGTGCAGAATCAACCTGCCATACAGGATGATTCAACATGTGGTGATGATGAAGCCTACCATTTTAAAAAGATCAGTTGAAAACTATGGGAGGAGATTTACCAGCAAACAAAAGTTTACGACAGATGGATGCACATGATATGTCCCATCAGTAATTTTGACAGATGTTTAAAAACATTACTCCAAGGTTTAGATGTCTCTGTCTGCACCACACAGAAAGACAGATTCTATTAATCTAAAACATGATGAGATGATGTATTGCTAGTAAGGAAAAGAAAATTATGAAAGATGAACTTGGATATTAGACAGAAAAGTTTAAGTCTCCTTTTGTAAGTACATTCCACTGTCTAACAATCTGTGACAACATACCTGTATGCTCTTTTCTGATACAGCTCACATAGGAAGTCTACATTCCTGCAGTCTCCAGGTTTTTGTAGAGGACAAATATAGCTAGTCTCATTCATGTTCATATACTCTGTTGTGCCCGTTGTACGCTGGCCCGTCAATGCCTTGGCAATCTGTTTCACCAGGTATCTTTAAATCAAAGACAATGTGTTAGAAATATCACAGTGAAACCTGACTTAACCAGTACCCAATTCTCTGGACATCATTAAAAATTGGGGACATCATGAAGAGCAATCTTGTAAAACCTGACTTTACTAATACCTGACTTTCAGGAAACCATGTAAACAGCTTTGTAGAAAATCTACACATGACACCTGACTTCACAGCACCTAAATGTTGTACATTTTGGACAAAGTTTACTAACACAAAACCTGTCATTAAATCATTCATTATCAAAATTGTAACCATCTTCACTGAAGTTGAGCAAATAAATGTGACAAACATTGTGCCCCATATCCTAGGTTTAGTTGTGTTGTAATTAAACCAACGTCAGACAAATTCACTAACCACTTTAAAATCATATCCATTCAGTGAATTTCAAAGTGTATACAATATATATATATATATATAATTCAATTTTGAAGTTAAGATTTTTGGCATTCACTACGATGTGATATTTCAATATGAGTTTTGATGATAATTAATCAGACAATGCTAAAATATTATACAAAATGAATCTGTTCTTTGAATTATGTGAATATTTTGATGTCAATGAAATGATCAATACCTTGCCACCTGTAAGTAGAGAACGGTATTTTCTCCCTCCACTGTGGCCAGTGGGGTAGCACCACAAACCATGTCAGAGATCCCCGAGGCTCGTAGGTATCCGTGCCCACCACATGACCGCCGACAAATCTCCATTTTGTATATAGCTATGTCTGTTAATAAGGCCTTCATTCCTGATGACCAGGCATGCATCTTTAAAACACAAAAGAATTAAGTATGACTTATAAAGGAATGCTGAGGTGATAGAAATAAAGGAAGTTGTTGTAGGTCAGGTTATTCTGTTCATAAATTAAGTTTTCATTTGCTACATTAACTATCAAACAAATCTGGTAACAGATAAAATTTGAAAAAGGGTTACAAATACTGGGCTATCACACTAGAAGACATAATTTCAGCTGAAAATATGGGAAATTTTGCATCTCATCAGAAGGTAAATATGTGTGATCATAATTCATGGTCCCCTGTGTTTCTGACCATTGGCTCTAAATGCCGAGTTCCTCTTTAACCAATCACTAACACATTTTATAGTGCTACTTTCCTGGACCAAAAAACTGCCATATTACTTGCTATGTCAACAAATACAGACCTCAGGTAGTGCCTTGGCATTGCCACTCTTCATGTCGATGAGCATAGCTTGATACTTGGCAGAAAGAACCTTGTGAATGAAGAAGCAGGCATAACCAGTAGCCAGAGCAGGGAACAGCTTGTACTGCTGGGTCTGGTAGTCGAGGACCTTACTCTCCTGCTTCCTGTACATAACATAACCAGTTACACATATCATTGGTGGCATTATATTGTAGGTTTAGGGGTGATTCAAATAAAGGAAAGATATATTGCAGAAAAGTTTTAAAGTTTTTTAATCTGTCTACACTGGGGTTTTACATATAAATTTTCCAACAACAAGGCTCCTGGAGATAACCTTATGCTTGTCGAATTGGATTGAGAATCAACTTCAGTTACTTTTACTCCTCCAAAACACTAGTTGATTTTGTGTACATTCCATTGGATAATCATATTACAAAGATAAAAGGTCTTTTTACAAGAAGTCTCGATCATCCAAAATCCAATATTGAAAAAGACGTGTAATCATGACAAAAGATAAAAGATCAACAAAGCTGAACGTTGTAACTTAATTTGCTGATATGTGTTTTAATCATTACCAGGACTGCATACTACTCCTCTGCAAGTGAAATAACTTGATTTAATTTTTTTTAAAAAGATACTACACTCAAAAATCAGATAATTACGATAAGATGATGATTAGATATCAACTAAAATTACTGACCCTGGTGATAAAGTGGACTGGCGCCGGACACTGCTGTAACGAATGGCTGCTGTTGCAGCAGCTGACAAAGCACCAAAGGTCCAGGTACAGATCATCACCCGAACATAAATCATTGTGGCATAGTTAGCCTTGTTAGGGCCTGAGGACAGGAATTTACCTGTCCGTGTTAACTGTCAAAAACAAGCTACAGAAATTGCATCACCAATATAAAACAGATTTATACATAAAACCTTGAATGTTCTAGTCAATAAATTTAAACACCAGTGGCAACACCACATTATATTTACCATGGAGTGCCATAGCTGTTATGTAAACTTTCTAACGTCAGATGTGTATGAATTACTGATTCATTAACTGCCAACAGAGTAGGATTACCACAAGTAATGAGAATAAATAGAGGATGTCTCCCCTATAAAATGTTGAACATTGAAAATGATAAATACAAGCACTGAATCCCTTTTTAGTTGGTATTCCTGGGTATTATGAATGTCATCTGGATAAAGGCAATTTCAACATAGAGTACTAACACTTTTTATTGATTTTGCCCTTATCCTCTTTTCATTCATATGTCCATGAATGCCAGCTGAATGTGATTCCATGTTTAAATGTCAAAAATGTCAGATATCATAAAGATATCATAAAAAAGACAAAGTAAAGAGCAACTTCACGATAACCAAGATCAAGAACAGATGTGACTTCAGTATACCCCACTGTTGTTGTGTACCCTACCTGTGCATTCTTCATCAGCATGTTTTCCCGTGGTATCCTGACATTGTTCAGGAAGAGGAAACCGTTGTCGTTAAAGTTTCCTCCCATCTTCTGTCCAATAACACCCAACTTTATACCTACAACATGGTTGACAGAAAGGAACCTAGGTACATCATGAAACAAGGTCCAATGGACATGTATCACACACGTTGTATTCACTTGTTAAATTTAAACCAACTTTACAATATAACATCTTTACACCACTTGTTAAACATGATTTATCTACAAGTGATAATAAAGAATCATTTCCAGGAAATTACAACTAATATAATTTATGAAGATTTCAAATTCTCAGCACATAGTTCACACTAAAAATGCTAAAAGTAACAAATTTTACAATTGTACAATATTTTTATTAAAAACTCTTCAAGTTTTTTGGTAACTCAGAAGAAGGCTTTGAATTATTTAAACAAATTTGACTCTCATGACCTTGAAACTGAGTCAAGGTCACTGCAAGCATTGTTGGGCTTAATATCATGATCACATTTGCCAAATACCTATTAGCTAATAAAGATTCTGATTCTATGCCATGTGGTTCATTAGAAGAAGTTGCTGGAGTGTTCTAACACATTGTCAAGTGATACCTACCAGGCATTGGTGTATGGTCCACCATGCTGCGTAACTGTACCATGAACGGATGCATGCCACATCTCTTGTTGTCGACCACCAGGTGAGCAAGAACAATAGCATAGTTGCTTGATTTTCCCACTGGAGCATTACAATAAAATCATCAGACAAAACAAAACATTGCCTTAATACTATGAAGTTACATTACAACCAGAGGAGGTATTAACTGTATTATATTTACAAAAAGAAGACAAACGACAATAGGTCTCTAGGAAGCCATAAGCCATGAAATGCCTTTCCAGGTAAAAAGTATCAATGTACTTACAGTTGCCAGGCCACCATTTGATGGAGGACAGCTTTGGTGTATTCAAGACTAACTCATCTGTAGCTTTATCATATGTAGCTGTGGTCTCCAGCTCCATCAGGTTTGTACCTCAAAACAAAAAGTGCATACAAAAATACTTAAAGTTGTTTAATATAACTCTGCAGTGATTAATAATAAGTTACCAAAAGAAAGAAATATTGATTATTTTCAGCCATGTGATTAAACAAGTTGAACTATTTATAAAAAGTTACCATATGAAAAAGAAATATCAAAATTAAAATCAAATGATCATTTTTTTAAAAATTTTATTTCAGATAATAATTTTATTGCAGATAATATGTTCTTTATCCTTTCAAGATCATGCTATCCTTCTCTGTAACTACTGATAATTTGCAAATAAACACATCGGAAGCTCCAGCTATAAAGTTCTTTACCGTGACCTAACTCTGTCTGGGCGTATGTTCCAATCATCTGATACCGCCTGGCGAGAGGCAGCCATCGTTCTTTCTGTTCTTCAGTAGCCAACCTTTCTATGGCAGGTAGGAACATGGAATGATGCAGACTCAGGCAATGCTGTTCACGGATGATTCTGTACACATTTACAAATATTAAAGGGGAAATAAATATTCCAAGACAATTTATGAAAATGTGTAGTAGGATTACATCTTTTCCTGAAAAGATCACGAGTGATCATGTCTCCTTAAAAATTGAGGGCAAAACAATCCAAAATTTCTTATACTTCTATCATTATGAAAAGACTGGATATCAATGGTGTAATTATTATTATATATAGTTAAAACATAATTGCTAGATATGTTTGTCTGCAATATTTAAAAAAATTGGAAACATTTATACAGTATACATCTCATCGAGGATTGTATGGTCCAATGCACAAAGTGATCATAACTAATTCATCAACTGGTACTGTAAAATCATTTTTGGAAGATTCCTTTTTGTTGAATTCATGGGTCCATTCTCGAACTGCTAAAATTAGTGTAAGTAGACTTATTGAACTTTATGTATCCACAAAATCAAAAATCGACAACACGAGTCATATGAATCATTCCTTTTAAGGTCACTCTTTCATCAATATGTTAAATAACACTGTCAATTACCTCAATACCAACATCAAGTCTTCGTCACTCCAGTTTTGCTCCTGCTGTAGACGAAATAGTTTGACTGATCGTGCCATGGTAGCAGAATAAAGTTCAGAGTTTGACTGATATATACTGTCTCTCAGGCAAAACACAGGATCACTGAACAGCATTTTCTCTGGAAGTCAAAATAACAAAGTACATGTAACAGTATTGATGATATTCTGTCTATGGGCAAGAAATTTGTTGGCAAAGTTTCTTGTCTTTAATATCTTGTATTCAATAATAAAACAAAAAACCCAGAAAATCAACACAGTTCTGCAAAATAAAACTCCTAATGAAATTATCCATTGTTGATGAGATTGTGTGATGTCTTACCTGGTAAATATAAATCACTTGGACCTGATGACACCATGTCAACGAAGGAAATTTGATCATATTTAAAATCATATCAATTGGTTGATCACAAACAAGAAATATGTATGCCACGATTGATTTGTTTATAATGAAGGTCTGAGAGTAGGCTGTGACTATATATCATCGTGGTCACTCAGTAGAACTTTAAGCAAGGTAAGATAACTGCAACATACTCAAGCTTGCTCTGGTACTATTTTTAATCACCAGCTAGTTTTGACCCAATCGCTGGGTCTTCATCAGGACAATTTTTACAGTGAAATATCCCCTGAAGTACTCTTCAGGAGGATAGCTTTATAATGTTTAGTAGGAATTTGTAGCGTAATTAGCAAAAATAAATATCACCTGTTAAGGAGATAAAATTATTGCATTTTGATTGGTTGAATGGGTGTGTCCACATAAATCGACCGATTTAGGATCCAGTGTTACTGTGGTGACAATGACAAGGCACCTGTCATCAGTATCACTCTGAGTGAACATCTAATATTGTTGGGGTAGTAACACAGGCTATGATTTTTCAATGCCTTCCCTAACAAGAATAATGCTTTACCATATAAGCTTCAAAGAAATCCTCCCTAGTGAAGTAGATTCATATCATACAGCAACTAGCATTCTATCAAGCATATATTGTCTCTCTGATAAACAGAACAGTGTTTTGGTACGAGACAAAACATTTTAGTCATGTCCCTACAATCACATCAATGTTTCTAAAATTCAGTGAGAATCGTATGTTCCTATAGTATAATACAGTAGAGGTCAGAAAAGTTGCATTAAAACTGTATACTGGTACATACATAATGTATATGTATACATAGCAGTAGCACTCATCATCCTTTACATTATTTGACAGACATAAAAGACCTTCATTCTCTTCTATTTGTTTAGAATCAAGCTTTGAGTATTAAATAAGTAGGATCATACTACAATGCAAATGTATGTGAGCAAGTGTGTGTTTTCATGTAAGTGTTTTTTCAGCAATGTTTGGATGGTATTCCTATTATCTAATTTTTTATTTCATTAAAATGTGTTGTTGCTGTTGCCATTTCCTGTTCTACACTGACGGATTCAGGTAGAAGAGACAACTCTATCCATTATGATTTGGGTGAATATCAAGTTCCTTTACTCTGCAGCGGGATACTCAGGAGAAATCTGGTAAGAGTGTCTTCAAATAAATATAGAAAGCCTACTCAGATACTGTTGTGAATGTGATACTCTTACCATTCTAAACTGTATATAACTTGTATGAATTATATTCACTGATTAATGTAAGAAGACTTTTATGTTAGCTCAAGTTAATACAGACCGAGAATGTACATGGGTGATGCATGATATTTCTGTTGTAACTTCCTAATAAATTGTCAAATATCATAAAGTGTCCTTTACTATATTTGCAACATCCAATATAAATAAACTGATTATGAAATCAAATGATTAATAGCTTAGAAAACCATTACATTCTTGAAGCAGATATGTTTTATTTTTTCTATATTTCAACATCTACATTAATTCCATCAGACAGAAATCTAATAATGAAACAATGATAAAGGGAAATTCATTTTTATATCATCTGGCCCTTGTTGAATTCTAATATACAATAACTAAATTAAAAATTGTGTCTTTATCTAAATCAATGTAATTTGTCTTGGCATGTTCGGCAATGTTATCACATGTCACTATCATTAGATAGCATGTGACCTTTGATGTGTTTTGTTTGTTTGTTTTTTATCAAGCTTAAAATGAAATTATGTATACGGTTATATTAGTTGCGTGACTGTGTTTATGCACTTGTCCCGATTTCTGACCTTTACCAGTTCACATGTCACTGAATGATTTGATTCTCCATTGCGTACTCTATGTGCATGTATCTCTACAAAAATGTAGACTTCACTGAGAACGACTACTTATGAGAACATTTGCGATCGCCGAAATACCGGAAGTTAATGCAAAAATTTTTTTTAAAAAAAAGTAACGGTAGTTCATATGTAGGCTGTTACTTGCTTAAGTTACGTTTTCCATGATCGTGTCGACTTTCGTTATATAAATATATGGGTCATGTTGAAATACTACCTAATTCTTTCCGACGAGCAGTTCTTTCTTTTCCTCCATCGAACAAGTGAGTTAATTCCAATGGGTCAAATGTTGCGGTGAGTCTTTCGCTCGCAATATCTGGATTTATCGCAGTGGACCCCATTCCTGTCACTACCTCGTTCGCCATTTTGAAAGAACATTAGATTGATGGTCACATGACAAATCACGTGACATTCTAAAAATAACCCTTGATACAAGCTAAAACGGCCCACATTAAGGCTCTTTTCTAATCTAAGTAATATTTCCTAGACCTGACTAAATACGGACTTATGTGAACGAAAACATCAATACTTCAATATCATTGTCTTTGATCTATCACACCTAAACCGGATTTAGATACCATATTATTTACAGTTAAGTATTTCGGTACATATATCTTAACAGTTACAGGTAAACTACAAAACAACAAGTCCGTGGTCTTACATAGTTCTTCAAACTGAAAAAAAAAGTTTTTGCATTAATAGTATTTTGCACCAAAGAATTCCACAAATCTGCCGTACATGTGAAATACAATAATAAACTTCGAATATTGGACAATCCATATTCAAATTTCTGGTGTCACACTGAACAGTGAGAAATGTGAATTTTCCAAAACCGAAATTAAATTCGTAGGACATGTCATAAACAGTGATGGAATCTCACCTGACCCCGACAGGGTCAAGGCAATCCGCGACATGGATTCGCCTACAGATATTTCAAGAGTCTGTCGATTTCTGGGAATGGTAAACCAGTTCTCGCCAAATCTCGGAAAGAAAACGAAACCGATTCGCGACCTGCTCAGTAAAAAGAACAGGAACTTTGTTCTAGCCCAGTTCTAGCCCTTTACGACCCGAACAAGGAGACGATAGTATCAGCTGACGCGTCGTCATATGGAATCGGGGCAGTCATCACACAGGTGCAGGAAAACGGAGTGCGGAGACCTGTAGCGTCACATTCGCGTGCATTAACTCCGACGGAACGGCGTTACGCGCAAATAAAAAAAGAGGCTCTAGCTCTCACGTGGGCATGCGACCGATTTAGCGGCCTTATCATAGGATTGAAGTTCCGAATGGAAACCGACCATAAGCCGTTGATTTCCCTGCTTGGTTCCAAGGATTTGAGAGAACTTCCGCCGCGTATTCAGCGTTTCCGTATGAGACTTATAAGGTTCAGCTATGACATAATCCACGTGCCGGGGAAGGCATAATACACCAGATACGTTGTCCCTCTCTCCCGTGCGTGGGGGTATTTCAGCCGAAGAGGATAATTTCACCAAAAACTCCCAGTGTTTTGTGGAGTCGATTTGGACAATTTTTCCGCGACAAACTCTCGGTTGGAACAAGCGCGGACTGAACTAAAATCCGACCCAATATGTTCAAAGTTGATGACACTTGCATTGGGAGGATGGTCGAGTAACAAAACGCACCTAGACGAACTTGTGAAACCGTACTGGGGACTGCGAGGTGAAATCACCGTGGTTGACGGATTGTTGTTGAAAAGTGATAGACTTGTTATATCGCCTATTCTAAGGACCGAGATCCTAGAGAAATTGCACGAGGGTCACTTGGGAATCGCAAAGTGTCAAGAACGCGTGAAATCGTCAGTCTGGTGGCATGGTCTTAGCAGCCAAATAGAGGATGTGGTGAATTCTTGCCATATCTGTGCCGAGGCAAGGAATGACTCTGCCGAACCGTTAATACCAACTCCGCTACCGACACGTCCATGGCAACGCGCGGGTACAGATCTCTTCCATTCCAAAGGGAAAACATACCTTTTTGTTGTTGATTATTTCTCACGTTTTGCGGAAATCGCCAAGTTGTCGTCAACGTCAAACCCATATTTAGCCGTCACGGGATACCATTTGTGCTAATTTCTGATAAGGGATCACAATATGCGTCTGAAGTGTTTGTGCGATTCGCAAAGGAATTTCGATTCCAACACGTAACCAGCAGTCCGAGATATGCACAGAGCAATGGTGAAGCGGAAGGCGACGTACAAACTATCAAGAATCTGTTGCGCAAAAACAAGGATCCGTACGTCGCCCTAATGTCGTATCGTGCGACGCCCTTATCAAATGGGTATAGCCCTGCCGAACTTTTGCATGTGTAGACAAATCCGAACAAAGGTGCCAGTTAAGCCAGAAACACTCATCCCAAAATGGCCTTATCTAACAGAGGTGAAGGACAAAGAAACTGAGCTGTGCGACAACCAAAAACCGAACTATGATCACCGTCATCGCGTCAGAAATCTTGCACCGCTCAATCCTGGAGATCGAAAAGTGATCAGAAGTGTGAATCCCATCATCAGGACAGGACATTGGGATAACAACTGCATTAAAATTGTTCTAAAAGCTATAAAAATAGCCTTTCATTATTTGATTTTGATCACCAAAATTATTATCCCATAATTATGATATAAACTGAATTTGTGAAGTTGAAGTCTCAAGATGATCTTGATGTTTGTTTGCTTGGATTTTTTTATTTTTTTTTTAAAATTTTAACCCTTTTACCTAGACCGAGGAACACCTGTGTAAAGAGATCACCTCTATTGAGAGACCACCTGTATGAACAGACCATTTATTAGCCCACTTCATGTTTAGCACTACACTGTCATAGTACTGATTCATAGTCAAAGAAAAGCTTGTAATTAAAGTAACACTAAAATACATCATATTTCCATACCTACAAGACAATTGTACACTTTACAGAATTCTGTTTCTTTGTAATGTTAACTGGACTTTGGATATGCTGGGGATTTTTTGGTTAGTCCTGAACCAAATTTAATAAAGTTTTACATAAAATTAAGAATTATATGCTCCCCATCCACAGTGCTCTAAGCAGAGGACTAAAATTTATCAAATTGATTCAAATTTCAGGGATGGAAGGATTAAAGATGATTTACTAAAATGTGAATTTTTTGCCCTTAGGGTTTCACATTTCCCCTTGGGTAGGAATTTACTACAATTTATATAGGAATATTATCTTTATCTTCTTCTGCCTTTCTCTGTATTTCTGTTCATGTTATAGCATCTCTGTATTATCTATAAATTCCAGCTATGTCATTGACTTTTTACATTTACACCCAAAAATAATTGGTCTCATCATTGAATATCATGACATTATTGTCAAGTATGGTGTTCAGGGTCTCCAACCCACAATATGACAATGGGAGAATGGAAATCATTTTTAAAATTGTCCTCTTTGTAATAAAAGCAACATGATGCTGTAATTGAACTATTAACTGAGGTAGATGATTAATGACCCTGGTGTCTTATTTTATAACAGACAGGTTTGACAAGTCACCATCAAAATGTTACATTACTGATTTAGATACATTTATCTTACAAATATCTTTTACTTTAGAGATTTTCCAGTCAAATTGAAAATTCAAGAAGGATTTTTTAAAATAGGATATACAAATCTAGATGAAATCAAATTAAACCTGTGCATTTTCCCCTCTAACCTTCAGCAAACACATACATGAAACTACTACCCATTGTGCTTCTTAAGCTAACAGTTACTGTATAAACATTTTCCTATATTTTCTATTGAAGTACTTAAATTGTTGCCAACATTTGGAATATTACGCGTTTAAAATTTGCACAGAACTTTAAAATTTGTTTGTCTTTGTTTCATTAATTCATTTTTAATACACAACGTCACTTCAAAGTTGTGAAAAGAAAACTGTAATGGCTAGTTATGAGTTATCTCCCCTCTGTCAATATTGATGTTGTCAGAAACTACAAAAGGATATCAGCTTGAAGCTATGTATTTTTAGCAGCAATAAAAAATGCAACATTATACACAAATTCTAAATTTTTAGATAGCTTCATGTTTTCTTGACATTTTTCCAAACATGTAAAATTCTTAGATATTCCCCTGTTGACATCAAATCAAAATAATGATTTCATTTCTATATTATTATTATTGAGTTATAATTATTCCTTTTATGTCCTCCAAGATTACATAAAAAGAATAAATACAATTAAAACACAATCAACATTAAAAAAGAGTTGTATAAATGTACATAACAAATCATAATAGTGTAATTAAGAAGTTTTAAATATTTGATACAGAAATTTTAAATTTACAAGTCTGAAATATTCCAAATCTTCTTTCAACTTTTCACAGCTAAAAGTACACGCCAAGAAAGTATTTGCTAAGTCAAAGTCTGACAAATTATTCAACCACGTCATGAAATTTATGCACAACTTATTAAATAAGTGACACCTTGATTCATCTCAAATATCAATATTTTTCATAGCAGTGACAAATAATATATGTAATAGAATCATCGCACAACATACCACAGTTGTGACACGATTCCTCATGGTTCAAAATGCAAGAGCTTACACATATTTTTAAAATACACTGTATATAAATATTGAGAATACTTTACTGCTAATTTCCGTGAGTGATGTGTTTTAAGCTTAAGATGGATATACTCTGAAAAAATTGTTATCATAGAGAATGATATTACGTATGAATAAGGTAGAACCTGAATTAAGGGTCAATTATGCATATCAAGTGAATTACAACTACACATTTACAAAGGAGATAATTCTTATACAATAAAAATGGTAGATGAAAAGCCCTAGTGCTTGCTGCTAAAGCAGTATCAATTTGAAAATTGAGGGAAAACTTTTTAATATCTACGATGTCAAATCCTAAAATCAACCATCAAAATTCTTTAAGAAATATTTGTTATGGTATTAGATACATTTGTCGTGTTCTCCTTCTTTATAAATATATGCTAAAACTAAGGGTTTTCTGAAAATTTAGTTATTTTGCCAATGCTAGATAAAAAATATCAAACATTATGATTTAATGTTGATTATCAGGAGTGAATTAGTTCATGTATTTTGTTTTTTAATAATAAATTCAAACTTTATATTGATAGTCTGTTTTGAATAAAGTAAACTTTTCTGGTAATCTGTTCTGAATAAAGTAAAACTTTAGGAGCAACGTATTACGTTCTAGACGTATTAATTGTAGAGTTTGAAATGTCATGTTTTTTTCAAAAAAAAGAAGAAATTGAAGTCTGTTTGTCTCCTTTTTAACTTATTATTGATGCTAACAGAATTTACACTGGAAGTTTAACACAAGGGACAATTGCTCAGTGTCTTTCGATCACTTTGGATTTGCCTCTTGGGTTTTATAATGTTAGGCCCTTAATATCACTGTCGAGAGGAATAAGGGCGAAACTGTTGTAAGGTGTAGTTTAATTTATTATCTGGCTCTACTGTATATAAACGTTTCGAAGGCTTCCTTTTGGGGCAGAGACACGCCCACCATCCTCCCTTTAGTGTATTTCTTGTATGAGTTCCATAAAGACGTTTGTGGGGTATACATTCATTTGCATACATGGTACACAGTTTCACTTAAGATTCAATGCAACTAATAAAACCAACCTGTCGAGAGGTATTCATGTTTAAAATAACAGATTACGTAGCAATATTTTCACGCAAAAACTGAAATATGGTTAGATTTTGAAGCTATCGAGTTCATTTACAACCATATTTTTTTCTACGGGATAACATGGGTTACGTCCCACTACCGCTTATTGAATCGGAGGCACGTGAGCGCAAAAGTAGAATGGAGGTCACGCATGAATGAGTGATTTTATCAGACTCGGATTTGTTTCGAATTTGAATCCCTGAAAGCATAGATAACCATGTTCAAAACCATAAACAAAAAATAACCACCTTCAATGATTGTTATAAAAATCAGTGTTACCATAAAGTTCAACAATATGAATAAACATTTCACATTTTATTATATGAGTGCATATGGTCAGTTATTTCGAAGGACACACCAGTAAAACCCAGAGAACCCCTTAGTTTACCAGGACAGGTATGAACTTTATTCATCTCTTTCATGGGATAATTTCTTATCGTCCGACTCTATGTCCTATATGATTTCACACATTACTACAGTCAATATACGAAGAAAGATTTTGATTTGGTCAGGGGCGTATGATAAAGACACCCCTGGATTTGGTTTAAAACGAATAAAACTTCGAGAAGACATAGAATTTGAAAATACATTTGAACAAAAAAATTGATTATTACTGTAACAATCAAAATTTGAAGATTAAAACCTGAAGGATTCGGATTAGACGGGATCAACAACATTTAACGTTAACTAAATCTAAAAGTAACCCATTACACTAAGGAAAGGACAATGATTAGAAATTGATTAACCACGACATTAAAAAAAAATTCTTCTGTGGCCATGTTTTTATCCAAATCGAATACATAATACAGAGCAAATTTCGAATTCATTGAACTCGTACATTCTATTTTTCATTAAGATTTATGACTTACACTTTTAAATAGCAGTCAATAAATCAATTCATTTATGTAATCCAGTAGTGCTTGGATGTTGCAACATCAATCCATGTTCTTAATTTTCCATCAACAAGTCCGTGACTTTTTAGTAAGTCCTGTATAATGTTATACCATGTACTTTTCTGTATTTTGGTAAGGGTTGGTCCGGTTGGAAGCGTGCGAGGGAACTTCCTGTGGGAGGAAACCGGAGTACCTGAGGAAAACCCACGTGGTCGGGCAAAAGGTCACTTCCGTTTTGGGAATCGAACCCCGGACAGCTAGGTGAAAGGCGTTACCGCTGCGCCATGCGACCACCAAATACATATATCATAAAGTAACGGGTTGATTTCTTTACACCTAGTAAACAAAACTGAAGATGTATTTTTGTAACTTAACCGCTTTCTTACTTCACCAAACTTCAAAGGCATACGAAAGAATGCTTCCGACATAAGTATCAAAACATTCAACGTAGTTTTGATAATTTAATTCCTATTATTGAATTACAATACCTTAATGGGGTGGGGGTGCGGGTCCCATTTTTC